CCGCCGTAGGTGTGGTCATTACAACCCGTTGGCTAATTACAGCGTATCGTGAGCAGCCATCTTGCTGCTGCAGGCGCGGGAACAATAGACGGCTCGCAAACCGGTCGCTGTGACGTCACATCGTATGATTCCCATGTGTGGCCTCACTGCACAAGCGCAGCGGTTGCGGTAGCGGATTTGAGTCGCTACACCTGCCCCCTGCCGAGACCGTTGCTACGGGCTATAGTAATTCGGGAAGCGTACTGTTCGTCCACTTCTTCTCTTCTTCCCGGTTTCTTGGCTGATTTCTTTCTGCTCCGTTGTTGGCGTACTGCTCGATGCTCGCTGCTCTGCAATTGTTGATGACGCTCTTTCTGAAACATAGGCAGGTTTCAGGCGATCTATGGTGACAGTCTGCGTCTTTCCTTTAACTTCGATGTCGAAGGTCTTAGGGCCTCGGTGAAGTACTTTATATGGACCAACGTACGGAGGCTGCAGGGACCCACGCATCGGGCCTTCTCGTAAAAATACGTGGCTGCTGTGGTTTAAGTCCTTCGGGACGTAGAAGGTCTTGTTGCCGTGGTGTGATGTAGGAGTTGGAGCGAGCTTCACCATTTGTTGTCTCAGTCTGCTGGCAAAGTCCGTGACATCAACTGGATCATTCGTTGCAGGATGGAAGAACTGTCCAGGTAAACGTAGTGGCTCACCGTAGACCAGCTCTGCTGCAGATGCCTGAAGGTCTTCTTTCCAAGCGCTCCTCAGCCCAAGAAGTACGATTGGCAATACCTCTGTCCACTGTGGAGTAGCGTGACATATAATAGCTGCCTTCAACTGCCTGTGCATTCTTTCGACCAGGCCGTTGGCTGAAGGATGATACGCTGTGGTTACGTGATGCTCGGCGCCCACGAGTGCGGCGACGGTCTTGAAAAGATGCGACTCGAACTGCCGCCCTCGATCGGTCGTGATGTCGCTGGGGCAACCAAATCTGGCAACCCAACCAGACAGGAAGGCTGCCAGGCAGGATTCTGCAGTGATTTCATTCAGCGGGTACGCCTCAGGCCAACGTGTGAAGCGGTCGACTGCGGTGAGGCAATACCTGTAACCAAGAGAGTGTGGTAAAGGGCCGACAATGTCCAGGTGAACATGTCGGAAGCGCGCTGACGGTGGGGTAAAAGCTGCCAGTGGTGATGAAGTGTGTCGTGTCACTTTGCTGCGCTGGCAGTTCTCGCATTCTCGGGCCCATTGTCGACAGTCTCTCTTGACTCCCGGCCAAACAAAGCGTTGCGTCACTAAGCGGACTGTAGCCTTGGCGCCTGGGTGACTCAGGTTATGCAGCATGTTGAACACCTGTCGACGAAATGGTTTTGTAATGAAAGGTCTAGGAGAATGCATTGATACATCACAATAAACCTCAGAGTCAGTATTGGGAACTTTGATTTTTGACAGTCGTAAGCTTGATTTATTTTGCAGATGGTCATTGAGTTCTTCGTCGGATGCTTGGTTTTCAGAGAGAGACTGGTAATCAAGAGGTGCTTCTAACTCTTCTATGCGAGATAGGCTATCTGCGACCACATTGTCTCTTCCTGCGATGTACCGGATATCAGTGCTGTATTGACTAATAAGGTCTAAATATCTAAACTGCCGTGGCGAACATTGGTCACGGCGAGAGTGAAAGGCGTACGTCAGAGGTTTGTGGTCAGTGAATATGACGAAGGGTCTGGCTTCTACCATGTACTTAAAATATTTTATTGCCTCATACACCGCCAGTAGCTCACGGTCGTATGGGCTGTATTTACGCTGCGAAGGACTGAGCTTCCGTGAAAAAAATGCAAGTGGCTGCCAAGCGCCGCCGATCCTCTGTTGCAGTACCGCCCCAATAGCCGTGTCCGACGCATCTGACTGTATAGCCAGTTCTGCGTCTGCATCCGGGTGAGCTAATAATGTTGCTTGAGCTAGGGAGGTCTTACATTTTTCGAAGGCGTCCAAGCGCTCTGGCGACATGCTGACAGGATGTGAGCCTTTGACCTTGGGACCTGCCAGCAACTCGTTGAGTGGGGCTTGTAACGTTGCTGCTCCTGGTATGAACCGCCGATAGAAATTTATCATTCCTAGAAAACGCCTCAATTCCTTAACCGTCTTTGGTGTTGGGAACTCCTGGACTGCCTGGACCTTGGCTGGCAGTGGTTGAATGCCCGCAGCACTGACGCTATAGCCCAAAAAGGTTACTTTCTCTTTACCTAGTACACACTTTGCTGTGTTTATCAAGATGCCGTATTCTGTCAACCTTTGGAATAGTTGCCGAAGATGCTGCTGATGCTGGGCGGGCGTCTCCGAGAAGACGAGGATGTCATCTATGTACCCATAGCAGAAGTCCAGCCCCCTGAGAGCTTCGTCCATGAAACGCTGAAAAGTTTGAGCTGCGTTGCGGAGACCAAAAGTCATGAACGGGAACTCGAATAGACCGAACGGCGTGGTGATAGCTGTCTTAGGAATGTCATCCTCATGTACCCTTAACTGATTGTACGCCTTCACCAGGTCAACTGTGGAGAATAGCTTCTTACCGGCTAACTGGCAAGCGAAGTCCTGGATGTGTCTTAACGGGTATCTATCAGGAATTGTGCGTGAGTTCAGTGCCCTATAGTCGCCGCAGGGACGCCAGCCATCATCTTTTTTCCTAGCTAGATGCAGAGGGGACGACCAAGCGCTTTCGGATCTACGTGCTGTACCACTCTTCAGCATCTCCTCAAACTCTTTCTTCGCTATCTGCAATCTCAACGGGTCGAGTCGGCGAGGTCGCCCTGTTACTGGAGGTCCGGGTGTGGTACGTATATAGTGCACAGTATTGTGCTTCGGTATAAGTGGCTTACCAGCAGGTCGAGTCATATCAGGAAACTCTCTTATGATGTCCTGGTATGCAGAACTTGAGGCTGTAGTTGTGCGCACCGAAGATACGTCTCCTTTTAGATAGCGGCATGTTACTTCGGCTGTGAGTGATGTTACCTGGTCAACTAATCTTTGCTTACGGCAGTCGACAAGTAAGTTGTAAAAACTTAGAAAATCAGCGCCGATGATTGGCTTTGACACATCTGCCACAATGAACCGCCACTCAAATTCACGACGCAAACCCAAATTTAGACTGAGGTTGAGGTACCCATATGTAGCAATCACTGTACCATTTGCTGCGTGCAATTCGTACTGGGATTTCGTGCGTTGCCCGTTGACTCGAGAACGAGGGAACACGCATAAGTCGGACCCTGTATCTATGAGGAACTGTACCTTTGTTTTGCGATCGGAAATAAATAAGCGGCCTGGTGTGCGTGAAGCTGGGCAGACACTTTCGGCCACTAACGGCTGCCCTTGTCGTTTCCCGCCTTAAAGCTGCATGGTGCTATACATTTCTTTGCCCTTTGTCCAAAGCGGTAGTGGTACCAGCAATGCGGGTGACCTTCTGGTGGGTGCCGTGATCGTGAACGAGATCTGGACCTGTTGCGGTAAGAATTATTAAAATTACCTTGACGCACCGTCGGTTGCCTGCGTTGGTTGATTGTCAATGACTCCACTTGACGTGACAGCTGTGTTAAACGGTCATTAATAGCTTTCAAAGCCGGGTCTGCCGACTCCTTACTCGAGCTATTTACTGTCGCTACACCGGGGGGTGCGATGTCCTGAATATGGTCGACTAAGTCTGCCACTGCCTCAAGCGAGCTATCTTTTTGGAGTGCAACAATTGTTTGTAAATTTGTCGGTAACCGGCTTGCCCAAATAGTACGCATAAGATCAACGGAAACAGTTTCTCCAGCTAAACTTTGCAAATGTCTCAGAAACTGTGAGGGTTTTCTATCCCCCAACTCTTCGTGCATTAATAATTGTTTTATTTTACGTTCCCTTGATGTAGTCAATCGTTTAATAAGCTCAGATTTTAAGCGATCGTATTTGCCGGTGGCTGGAGGAGATACTATAATATCTTTGACTTCAGCAGCGTACTGATTATCTAGCTGGCCGATCACATAATAAAATTTTGTGATATCACTATTAATACCAGAAAGCATGAACTGACCTTCTATTTGGGCAAACCAAACTTCGGGCTCCTCCGGCCAAAAAGGTGGAACTCGAACACCAACACGCCACACATCCGTTGACCTGCTAGCGCTCCGCTCTCCGCTTGCACTTTGACCACCGCCTTCTTCACTATCTTGAGCGTCCTTGAACGGGTCTGTTAGCGGCATCACTGCGGATTATATCGGAGATGTTAATATTTTAAATGCACTTTTTCTTCGGGGTCACCAGTGAAGGGGTTCCGCGACTCCTATAGGAACCTCCTTACAAGTTGCGCTCTCTGGGAATCGAACCCTGGATTAATCGGCTCACCAGTTTTATTTTATTATTTATTTAAGCGGGCTACTTAGCTAAAGGCAAAACGCAAGAAAGTTTAAGCAATTACTGTGAATAATAATTTTAATTAAAAACAAACAAAACAATAACTACGTATCTACAAATCTTAAGCAAAGCTAAGCGTAAGCCGATGAGAGCGTAATGGTCGCGGAGACTCGGAGATCGTCTTTTATACGCGGCGTCTGTGTATGCGCCGAGAAGGGATCTTCGTACGTCGCCATCTTGAAGCAGGAGGTGTTACGCCGCCGTAGGTGTGGTCATTACAACCCGTTGGCTAATGACAGCGTATCGTGAGCAGCCATCTTGCTGCTGCAGGCGCGGGAACAATAGACGGCTCGCAAACCGGTCGCTGTGACGTCACATCGTATGATTCCCATGTGTGGCCTCACTGCACAAGCGCAGCGGTTGCGGTAGCGGATTTGAGTCGCTACAAATAAATAAATAAATACCTATTTGACACACCGATGTCACTCCACTACCACTTCCTCGCCTATATGACTGCATGCAGTCGTATCCAGCGAGCTAGCATCGGGGAGACCCATCGTTTTGCATTCCTCTCATGAGGTTTTTTTTTCTTCGTCTCATCAGGTAGATTATCGAAAAGTCTTTTTGCTGCCATGCCAATCCAAGTAGTAAATGGGAACTCAGATCTAACTATCAGACAGGTATGGTACAGCATCTAATCGAAATATTAATTTGTCTAAAGATAAAAAGGGTTTATTATTTTCTGCTTTTCAGTTTTTTCGGCAGTTTAATTTTTGTTATTTTTATTTACCCTGTTACCATCCCTATTAAATGTTGTGTTTTATGATGTGTTATGATTTTATTTTGTAAAAAAACCGTTTAAAATTGTTTTAATAATTGACTATTAATTATGCATTAAAAATCAATTTTATTTTTTTCCCTTGCAGTGTGCGTTGATTCCAAGACGCGCCATAAGGAATATTAGATCAATATGATGCCGTCTTTGCTTCCGATTTCGTTGCTAGGGATCTTTCTCAGCTGTGTACAAGGGAAATGGATCGAAGGCAGAATTAACACGAAAGAGGTAAAGACTAAAGTGAAAACAAAGTACAAACCAATGAAAGTTTCTAATCCTCTTTAAACGCCTTTAAAGGATGATTATCCGGTAATCAAACTATCTCTATTGCAGTATTTACACTACCCAATTTTAAGGGACCCCTATCCTGACTAAGAGTGGTGTAATGTGTTAGGGAATAAGGATCTATGGGCGATCGGCGCGGTGTAATATATGCTTACCCTAGCTAGGGGCCACGCCCACCCTTTCGATTGGGCCCTCAAAATTGGGTAATCTAAATCCCTTTTATACCAAATTGCATCTGAATCGGTTCAGCGATTTAACCGTGATTAAGTAACAATTCTACAATTTATTTATTACTTGGAGCTCGATGGCGCAAGTGGATAGCGCATTCGGCCTGTGATCGTGGAAGTAAGGTAGCTTTCGCAATGTCATTGGATGGGTAACCGAAACCGATTATCCCGAGCTTCTCCGTGCAACGGAAGGCACGTTAAGCCGTTGGTCCCTGCTGCATCTGCAGTTGTTAGTACCCACCCATCCGCACTGGGACAGCGTGGTGGGTCATGGCTAGAGATAATCGGATGTATTTATTTTTATCTAAAGTTATTTTTTGACTGTCAAATTATGGAAGTGGCTTCTTAGGATATTATTATCTGTCTATATATATATCAATATCAATTGCTGTTCGTTAGTCTCGCTAAAACTCGGAACGGCTGAACGGGTTTATCTTATATTGGTTTTGAAATGTTCGTGGAGGCCTAGGCACGGTAATAGGGAAGGTTTAAAAAGTGAGAAAATATGGAAAAATTTCGAGGAAAATAGTAAAAACGTCCGAACTTCGCTGCCGCTTCCATTTCTTTATTCTGCTTTGTTTTTCAGGATTGGGCGTTTCTAGCTAGATTTTGCTTCTTGTCCATAGACGGGCAGTTCGAATACCTGATAGAGTATGACAAGAACATGGGCACCCCGAACCTGCTTTTGTATTACGATGATGAAAAACAGTGGCCCGCTGTTTACCATAGCCGGATGGTAAGGCTGTATATATAAATTTACATTTGCCTTGTTACCCCCGCGGAAGCACTTTTTTTTTATACGCAGGCAAAAAATACTGTTTACAGACGACGGCGCCTTTAAGAGGCGGATCTCACACCTGGCTCCCGCAAGCCTTACGAGCCCCAGCATTGGCTGCCCACTGAGGACCCCGTAATTCTTACGGGCGCTTTACGGCATAATATCCTCTAAAAATCCCTTGCGAATACCCTCTAAGCTGCTTAGTGCGAAACCGCGTGATCCCCGTTTAGGGATTCTTCCGCGCACCTAGCAGCCTGCCGGCCTAGCCGGGGCTCCACGGCAGGAGTCTCCCGGGGTATCGCGGGGACCCCGCAGACGCGCGCAGGATGGTCCGCGCGTGGGGGCTGAGTACGCGGCCTAGTGCCCACCGTACCGCCCCCCGTCCGCTGCGGAGGACTACTTGGGCGTGCCCCTGTAGCCGCCCCCCTCTTTGCAGGACAGAACTACAAGGGGGGGCTGCTGTCACAGGGTCCGTCGGTGGCTGGCACAGCTGACGCCATGCCGGTCAGCGAGGGACCCCCCGGGGCAGCCGCCTCCTTCTGCGAGATAACGTTCTCGCAGAAGGAGGCGACTGCCTCACCCCCGCGGAGGCACTGGGAATAAAGAAGTTGGAAGTGTTTTTATATCTAACTATGCAGAGAATCGGCTTAGAGCAAACGTCACATTTGTCACACATCATCAATGGGTAATGATTGATGTTTGAGAAACATTTCGGCAAGGGTTTAGCGGAATCGTAGGTTTCGAGTAGAAACACAAGATCTGACAGAAGCAATGTCTGTCTCGTAAATTTTATGACTGTTGTCAACATAACAAGTTAGTTTGCTTCAGGGACAGGTGCAATCATTCAATTTGATTCCTAACCCAAGATATGCCTTTTTAATTACAACCGTGTCAAAACAATAAGATAGATTATTGCATAAATGTACGCATCGCTAAATACAAACTTGTAATTTTCTGAAAAAGTCTGCTGCAGACAATCTCATAAAATTGCAATGGGAAACCGTTGCAATTTTATTCCCTAGTCAAATCAGTCAAATAAAGTCGACAAAAATCACCAAAATAACCAACGTGCCTCTGTTCGTGTTGAACAACGTTGACAACTCTATTGGGTATTGAATTAGACACACATTTGAATTGGAAACAGCACATCCAAAAAATAACAAACAAACTATCATCTTTTATATACGCACTCCATCAGTTAAAACGTGCTAGCGATTTTCAGTCCGCTATTGTAGCTTATTATGCGTACGCGTATTCAATACTTTCGTATGGAATTGTATTGTGGGGAAACTCATGTAACGTTGGGAAGGTGTTTGTTTTGCAGAAAAAATGTATACGAATACTAGCTAACATTGACCAAATGGAATCCTGTAGATCTTTTTTTGTAAAGTATAATATATTAACTTTAGCTTCCATCTATATTCTGGAGTCTTGTAAATTTATTATAAAACATCCAGAATTTTATTCGCCACTAAAAAATAATAAAAGGAATAATAGAAACTTAAATAAATTTAGATTACCGATATCCAAAATGAAATTAGTAGCATCTAGCCCCCATATAATGATGATTAAAATATATAACCATGTCCCTAACTATTTAAAAAACTATAACACACCGACACAATTTATCAAACATTTAAAAGCCTTTCTTATTGCCAAGTGTTATTATGACTTAAATGAATTTTTCAATGACAAATCACCCAGCCAATGGAATGCTTCAGACTCTTAAGAATTTAATTTATAATGAATGTATTTAAATGAAGGATAAATAACAATATTTTAATGAATTTATGGTGTCGATTCTGGCATGATTCTCTAAACTTTTTTACTTATGTATTGGGAATGATAAGGATACACTGTCGTCAAATTTAGGTTTGGGTTGGAGAGTCATGCTAGAATTGACACCAAACACCAATGTATGTAAAGAATGATTAAAACTTACTTTATAAATTATATTGTGCAATTGTATAATAATATATTTTAAATAGATTATAACCCTCTAAAGTTGCTGTGCCCTTGCAGGGCGTCACATAGTTACTGTATTTGTTATTTGTTATGAACGCGGAACCTCGCCAGAGACAAAGGGAAGTTTTCAAGGCTGATGTCCAACCTTCAGTAATTGGAGAGGAACATGAAGAAGAAATGCGTTTTTAATACTTTTTTACAGTATTTTTGACGTATCGCATACTTTATATTTGGAGGTCCTTAGTGCAAATATGCATTTTCTATAAAGCAAAACTGGGAGCCATTCGCCTAACGGAAATGCTTTGGAAAACGCTAACGCTTACGATTTTATTTTGTTATTTCTAGCCACCTGAGGTTTTCAAATGCCTTGCGCTCTTTTTTTTTCTTTTGCATTGGTAATAACAATATTAAAAAAATGAGCGTGAGGTATTTGAAAACCTTCGGCAGTCAGAAATAACAATATAAAATCGAAAGCGTTAGCGTTTTCCATAGCATTTCCGTTAGGCGAATGGCGCCTTGGTCTGTTATGAGTGACATTTTTAAGCGAATTATCGGACAACTGGGTCAAAAACTGGTGGTGGGTAGGAATCAATTGTTTCGATCGTACATAGGTTCTATGTAAAACTCGCTCTAATTGAAGAATATTTGAAAATAAATTAGTTCATGGATCAAGAATCAATTATCATTTTTTTATGTTAAATCAGTACCTATATTTAATTTAATTATTATTTCTCCTGAACCACCAACACTCATGGAATCAATTATTTCCAGAGTTGCAAAGAGCGTGAAGCAGTCCTGAATAAAGCTGGACAAAACCAAATAATCAAACTGTCCCACTGGTATCCGGACACGGAATACTCGGGCTGCGTACTCACGCAAGCGAATAAAGAGTTGCCAGCTTCAAAAAGGTGAGTGGAATATAGTAGGAAGATGGTAGAAACCGTACCATAATGAAATACGGACTTATTACAGTGCAACCAACTAAAGAATGCAATCCTGACAGGTCGTGTCACTTCCTTATGGCGACAGAATAAAGTACACTTTCGATCTACTCTTCAACTTAAAGATGTCCGAAAATAAAACGACACGACCGACGAAGGAAATGACACGACCTGTCGGGATCGCATTCTTTCGTTGCAATTTAGTATTTAGGATACAAAAGCCTGTGGCTGTACTCAACGTATAGCTCGTGCACCATTTTTTGTATCTTATTTGAAATTAAGACGTTATTAACGCGATATTTGTAATGAGAGTATGATATGATATAATGGAATGAGAATAATATTGATGGTATAAACACAGTCTTTTGTCTGAATGGCTTAAGTACTAATAGAACAATGTTCCATGAAGGTACGAAACAGATTTTTTAACTGAACTATAACTTTAATATAAGGTTTAAAATTGAAGCAAGTTTCTTATACTCCCTGTTGCGTTTTTGACTGGACTGTCGTGGTCACAACAGTACCCTTAGTACGAGTTTAAAAATTACTAAAACTATGATAGTTTTCTTGAGCTCGCACTCGTACTAAGGGTACTGATTTTATTGTTTTCGTTTCAATACATTAAATCATATCTACCTATCATTAAATCATTTGCGTCTTGTTAAATTTTAAGTATATTTGGTTACTTTTCACCATAATGGATATAGAAACATAATTTACAATTACGAAAACTATGATAGTTTTCGTGAGCTCAAACTCGTACTAAGGGTACAAGTATAATAATGATGATATAAAAAAATATTAATAATTCTACTTACATTGAAATTCCATTTTAATTGTTTAACTAACATAGTATCATAAGTAAAAATTATAACTAACAATACTACGAACCAATAACTGACGACCTCCTTGGCCAAGTGGTTTGTACGCCGGGTTTCATGGTGTCGCCGACTCGAGAGGGTGCGAATCCCGGTCGGGGTAGATGTTTGTGTGATGAAAACGAGCATTTGTACTCCAGTCATGGATGTTTAATATATATTTCTATATAAATATATCTATATATGTACAGTATATGTATTCTATCCGTTACCCTAGTATCCCATAACACAAGCCTTATAGTGCTTACTTTGGTGTTGGAAAAAAAACCCTGAAATAAATAAATGAATAGAATTAACATTGTCTCTAAGCTTCCTTACCCGCGTGATGGGTCATGGTCCAATCTCCCTATTCCATCCATAGGGAAGGCCTGTGCCCCAGCAGTAGGGATAATTAATAAGCTGATGATGATGAAGCTTCCTTACTGAAAATTTATCTTGTATAATTTTTAGGTATCTCATAATTTCTATGAAGTTACCATTTGATTCCTGAGTTGCAAGTTAAACCAAGCTTAAAACAATAACCTATTGACTACAGGAAAATGCTGCGTTTCATTTAATACCTATGATAGCCTTAAACTTTGTAATGTAACACTATTTGTATTTATACTGTATGACACAGTAGTCAAAATGCGGGTGAACAATTAATGTATATTTCACATTATGTAATGAAAGGTGACTTCATGAATCATCTCTGAAGTCATTTTTCAACTTGACGACTCTGTAAATAAGAAAACAGGGATGAAAAACAGTCCTTGCTGAGTTTCTTGCCGGTTCTTCTCAGTACAAGGTCTCCCGCCCGCCGTAGATTTACGAACCGATGGCGTAGCCTCTAGACATTCATGAATGCTTGTAACAGCCTAAATTGAATAAATGATTTTGATTATGATTATGATTAATGAAATCTTCCTCAAATGCGTTAAATATTGCACATTTATGTTTCAGCACATCTACAACATTAAAACCTACAACTATACATTCAGTTGTACCCGTAAAAAATACTACTAACAACACTAAAATACAACCACCCGTTGACCCCAATTACTACAATAAATTCTTAAAAACTACCACACCAAAGCCGAAATCTACCACTGCTAATGTAAATTCTACCACTTGGTACGAATTGTTGCCAACTGGCGACTTGAATTTTACTACTATTATACCCGATGATGAAGTTGACTTGTGGGAGAGTATTGGCCCGGAGCGAAACGATACACAGTTTGGAAATTTAAATTTAAAAGATGTTGAAATCCTATTTGAAAATCATGTCAATGGAACTGTAAGTATTTTTACAGAACTTTTTGATTTATTGGCTTTAGGTGCGCTTGCAGCAATTTAGCTAAATCTCGACTTAACCAAAACCAGATTTAGGCTATAATTACACAAGTATGTGAAATTGACATTGCCGTTTGCCATTTTGTATGCGCTAAATCCAGTTCTAGCTAAATCGAGGTTTAGCTAAATTGCTGCAAGTAGACCTTAAAGTTCCAGATACATTTTAAGTATATATTTTATTATATCTACAACTTGTAAAAGAATTGCACACCTGAAAGTAGTTTGATTGGACAGGAACTGGCTTCTGAATGCATTTCCATGAAAAAAAGTATATTTTATTCTAAAAACATCGAAAAAATCATCATCAATCCATAAAACAAAGTCTTAAGAGCTATTTTTTAATGCAACTGTACATTAAATAATTTTGCTAACAGTTCGATATCACTAGTTAAACTGATTCAATCTTATATAAGTATAAAATTCTCGTGTCACAATGTTAGTTACCATACTCCTCCGAAACGGCCTGACCGATTTTTATAAAATTTTATATGCATATTCCGTGGGTCTGAGAATCGGCTACTATCTATTTTTCATATCCTTAAGTGATAATGGTTGACCTGTAACGTAGTGTTTTGAAACCTACAATGCGCCTTTGCGCCAAATTCCAAATTATTGGGTATCGTAACGTAGTGTTCTCATATGTGTTAGGAGGAATGTTATCCCAGGAAATTGATTGAACGCTACGTTACACACTCCTTAAATATTTTTTGGACATTTTTTTTATAATGTGGTATTAAAAATACATACAACCCTAAATTTTCTCTTCTACCTGCCCCTTTTTTATGGCGGTACGAAGTTCGCTGGGTCATCTAGTAAAAATATATTTTTTTTTAATTTGGTTCATTTGCATATTTGTAATAAACAACTTTCAAGGTATGCGTTATTTCTGTTGCATGAGAAGAAGAAAATTCATTTCTTCTCTGTCAATCGTATAAAGTTAAATTATTATTATTAGTTATGAATGAGACTTAAGGTCATCAGTTTTCGAATTGATTCAAGGTTTTTGAAGTGAAACTTCTTTAGGCACGCTTGACTTGGGGGTAAGCTAGCGAATGCGTTACGCGTTACGAAAAGTGTGTTCGGGCGAGGCGAACAAGAATGGGGGATATAAGCAAGAGAAAGCAGTGCGCGCGCAAATTTTCTTTCTCTCTTTCTCTTATAGCTAGTAAATGAAATATGTATATATTATATGTACATATGTGTATATTGTACACACTACATATATATATTTATATATATGTATTATATATATATATATATATACAGATAGAGCTAAAGAAGTTTCACTTCAGTCGTGTGGTCATGAGCACACTCGTTTTTTCATGTAAAAGGACCTCATTGAATATAAACCAAACTTTTCTTCGTAGAACAAAATAAAACGCTCGACTTCAGAACTTTACGAACGCTTTCGTCGACGTCGCCTCAACTCCGCTTCCGCCAGTCATGCCAGTAAAAGCGATAACACAGAAAGGATGTTGGTGATCTGCCACAACTCTAGACGGTTCAGATCCGCGAGGGAAAGATGGTGGTTCATAGCCATCAGTAACTGCGACTCTACTAAGGTCATTATCATTATTCCAGCACTTCACTTAGATATCCGTATTGACAATTGCCAGGTGTCGGCTTAGACTTCTAATTTCGTAGATCACAGATCTCACCTCACATTCACACACTTAAATATATAGGCTGGCAAATACCTATAACTAACTGTAGTGAGACTTAGGGTACATTTGCCTTTAGGTTGGGTAATCGTAACTCGAGTGCCACGACCCGATCGATGTTGGTCGGCCATTGAATATATGAAGTGTGCCTCCAAATTTTGTTAGCGCGATGTAGACATCATTATAAATGTAGTCGCCTCACTTAGCAACCGTCAATCGCGCTAGTAGAGGCGATACCACAGAACGTATGTTGGTGACTTGCCATTATTCTAGAAAGTACAGAGCGAGGGAGAGATGGGATTTATAGCCATCAGTAATAGGGTATTTGACAAGTTTTAGAAAACGATCTTACGTTATTTACTAATGTTTATAGAGTCCATAAAAAGTGGATATTCATCATTATGTTGTGTGTTTTGGTAAAACAACTATATCAAAAACTCTTTTTTCAAGTTGCCGCGAAAAACGTATCTCTGGACAATATGGCGTCTCACTGGTGTGTGACGTCACACGACTGTCATTAATACGTCAAACCATACAATCAAATGTCACTTTAACCGGAAGTTTACTTGCGTGTGACGTCATTTTAGGCTCCACCTATCCCAAGCGTTTTGGTTCACGTGATAAAAGACATGAAAACTATTACTCTTTATCGTGGGTTTTTAGTAAAATTATGAACATTTTTTCTGTGAAAATAGTAAAAACTCCTGCCAATATTCATTCTAAATACATATGCTAACAATTGGCACTTTATATTTAATACTGTCAAATACCCAATTGCGACCCTACTAAGCTCATTAATTTTCAGCATCATTATCGTAATTATTATTCATTTATTCATTATCATCTCGACGATATTCATTCATTACGATATACGCTTGATAAATCAGTCGTAAATGCGTACAAGTCAAAGTCGAATTAAAAATTTCTTTATTCATTTAAGTACAATTTGCACGCTTATGAAAGTCAAATTTGATGCCGTGTACCATGGCGTGCCATGTGATATACGGAGAGTTTTCATTATAAACACAAATATTATGAATTAGGCCCGATTAACTAATAATATAGTTTCTCACAGTAGACAAAAAATAAATTTTGCAGGGATTGGACGTCAAATACAAATTCTTGATGACAAACGGACCGGAGGGTGACTTCTGGCATGAACATTTCTCGGCAGACGAATTCTGTACGTATTTAATTTATTAATTCATCTATTTTCCTTTTTTTAAATTAATGGGCCGTAAAAGCAGTCTGCTCATCAAATGCGATTAATGTAGCTCGTAAACATCCGCAACACCAAAAGTGTTACAATAGTCATGACGACGGGGTAAAGTAAACGAAATTATATTTCTTTAGTCCGTCAGTTAGATGATCAAAAAATAATGGACAAGTATTTTTTCTTTGTGCAATCAACCAAAAAATGGTAAAGATAAAGCGCGTCTATGTTTGGGAGTAGGGGCTCGTGACGTCACTTTTAAGTGAAAATTGTACCAAAACGTGACGTCATGCGACTTTTCAAATCAATATATCTCTGCAATCTCTGTTATATTATATGAAAAAAGAAAAAAATACGTGTCCAATACTTTTTGGTAATCTAACTGATAGACGAAGAAAAACAAAAATAGTCGTCATCCCTATTACGGATGGGATACAGATATTGAACCATGGAAAAATGTGGACGGTTGCCTGGTAGAGATTGCTACCTTAGCAATAACACCGCCTTTTGTGTTTGCGTTCCTGTGTTTTATGTTTTTTGTATCTCTTATCTATTAGACAAGTCTGTCCGTCCGTCTGTGGTGCTGTTTCAGCGGCCAAACCGTAAGAGATAGATAAAGAGAATATTTAAGTTATAAGTTAAGAATAGTCTGATAAGACTACAAACCGGATTTGAGTAACGTAGCACTTCCGGTTTTCGAGAAATCACGAATTTCAAACGAAACCACACAAAATCTCCGAAGTTCTCAATTAATTAAATACATGTTTTTTTTTAATCAGGCTTTGGTGAACATTTGGTTCACTGGTTTGCTAGTTTTTTGTAATAGTGCAATAAATAATTTTCATTCATTCATGACTCTTGGTTCAATATTTATGTATCCATGACAATATTCTTTTTTTTTTATTTATTTATTGCACTCATGTGGTTATTACAGATGTTACATAAAAATATTAGATACAGACACATGAACCCTGAAAGGGTATAGCAATTTAATTTAAAATGTCTTTAATTTAAAAAAAAAATAAACTACTTCAATTAAATAAAATTAACTTGAACATAATTGGTAACTAATAAATTAACACTGACATATAGCATTCAATAATAACAATAATAATAATTTCAAATACGTAATGCTATTTTATTTCAAATAAAATAGCATTACGTAGGAACATTAAAAAATAAATAAATAAGGTCTTGCTTAAATTAACTAGTTAGGTACTATTAAAATTGAAGAACTCTTGCATCGAATAGAAGCTGGTCTTCGATAAAAATAGTAGATTTCAGTAGTTTTTTAAATTTGACTGCGTTTTTTTTTCATTTTTTATATGTTCGGGAATTTTATTGTACACTTTCACGGCCATAGCAACAGGTCCTGTGTGTACTAATATCCAGTAACAATATAGTATTTTGTGATTATTATTACTGAATTATTTGAAGAATTTTATCGCCACTTTTTCCACACAGCTAAAAAATTACCCTAACTGGTGGTAAGGAAAAAATGTGGATGATTCGAAGGTGTGTAGTATTACGCTTGCAATTTGAATTAATAATTTTTGACTTTGACATGGTTTAATATCTCCTGTAACACCAAAAGTGTTACAAATACGGATAGGATACAGATTCATTCCGATTTGTAACACTTAGTTTTAAGAGTTACGGTAAACGATTTTGTGACATGGTCCATGACCCACCACGCGAGCCCAATATGAATTGATGGATCCTAATGGCTTATCATGCTTTCCGAAGCACGGAGGAGCTCGACATAATAAGTTTGGTCACCCATCCAATGACTGGAAAGTTGCTTAACCATCATGATCGCAGACCGAACACGTTAAACACTGTATCACTGAGCTCCGCTATTTGTTTACCTGAGTTTAAAGATATTTTTGTTTTTATGTTCCAAATACCTAAGATTTGTATTTGCCTCAATATACATATTTGTTTCATCATCAGCCTATTAATGTCCCCACTGCTGGGACATAGGCCTTCCCTATGTTTGGGACATTACCCACCACGCGGGCGCAGTGCGGATTTATGGGGGCTAATGACTGCAGATGCAGCTGGGACCAACGGCTTCCGAAACACCGTCCACTGCGAAAGTTGCTTAACTTCAACAACCACTTGCATCATCGACCAAACATAGAGTGATACATATATAAGTATTTTTATATATGTAAACATCCATCACTTAAGTACAAATGCTCTTATTCATCATACTAACATTCACCCCACTGGGATTCGAACCCTTTTATTTCAACTGAAGTATTATTCATCGGTGTATTTTTTTTTATAGCTAGGTAGGCAAATGACTCTACCCCACCTGATGTTAAGTGGTGATAAAGTACAAACGCGAAGATAGCTGGTACAGCAGTTATAAACTGCCAACCATCCTCACCTTGCCGGCCTGCAAAAATGCTTCTTCACGCCTCTCGTAAAGGACCCCAGATTGTAGGAAGGAAAGAACACGTGCGCGGGCAAAGAATTCCACTTACGAATAGTACGACAAAGAAATGTGTCATCATCATCATCAGCCTATTAATGTCCCCACTTCTGGGGCACAGGCCTTCCCTATGGATGGTTTAGGGAGATTGGGCCATGACCCACCACGCGGGCCCAGTGCGGGTTGGTGGGTGCTAACGACTGCAGATGCAGCCGGGACCAACAGCTTAACGTGCCTTCCGAAGCACGGAGGAACTCGAGATAGTAAATTTTTGGTCACCCATCCAATGACCGACCACATTGCGAAAGTTGCTCAACTTCAACGACCGCAACCGAACGCGCTAACCTCTGGCGCCATCGAGGTCCTCTCTGGCGCCATCGAGCTCCTCTCTGGCGCCATCGAACTCCTCCTCCGAGATAAGAAATGTGTATAAAAACTTAATAAGCTGTCATTTCTTCAGATGTTCTTCCAGTTCTACTCGCCTACACATTTGCCTACGTAATAGTAATGGTGGCGGCCGTGATGTGTAGCGTAGAGTTACGTTCGCGTCATCTCTTACATGCTACTTACAAGTTATTCCTTATATCTGGGTTGGCACAACAAGCGGGAGCGATGTTACAAGCCCTCGCTTACATAAAATACGCTTCTAGTGGAGTCAGACCTCAAGGGTTAAATACTACTGGTGAGTTATTCTTATCAAGATGATGTTTTTTATCCAAATTTTAGAAGATCCGGATCTTTGAGAAGCACTAACGGCTAGTTTAAATAATCAACCTCTAGCAAAAGGTAAGGATAATCTGGTCCCATTTCTTAACAACAACAAACAACTGTTGTTACAATCCTAATTAGGTTGTAACAACTGTTGTTACAATCTTAATTATGTTGTAACAACAGTTGTCTGTTGTTAAGAAATGGGACATTAAAAATGACAAAATAAAAATGTCTGGGCAATAAGGGTCTAACAGGTCTTGAACTTCCCGAAGTTTGATTATTGAAAATAGTCGTAAGTCAGTATTTCTACATGTTATGCAGCTACAGCTAAGGTTTTTCACAGGAGTGTATTTTGTTTTCCTGCATGATATTTATGCAGCTTTGATTTATTGTCCAATTACATCTTGCATGCTAGTTACAAGCTATTCCTTATATCTGGGTTGGCACAACAAGCGGGGGCGATGTTACAAGCTCTAGCTAACATAAAATACGCTTCACGTGGAGTCAGACATCAAGGGTTGAATACTACTGGTAAGTTATTCTTATTAAGATGATATTTTATTTCCCAATTTTAGAAGATCCGGATCTTTGAGAAGCACTAACAGCCAGTTTCAATAATCAACCTACAGTAAAGGGTAAGGATAATCTGGTTTTTTCTTAGCAACAAACAACTGTTGTTACAATCTTAATTAGGTTGTAACAACAGTTGTTTGTTGTTATCGAAAACGGATGTAGGCTATGGTGGCCGCTTAACTTCAGACGCGATATTTTTTTATGTTAAAAGGGTAGTACAAGAGCACAACTTAGAGGTGGCGTTAATACTTGAAAAAAATTATGAGATATTAGTTGAATAAATATTAGATTATTTTAATGGTTGAAAATATCAGATAAGTAATATTTTTATTCAAATACGATATTTGATTATTTTTCACAGTTGATTTATTGTCAATATTTTCATTATTTCGGTCTATGATTAAAATTATTTATTACGATAATTTTATCAGCCGGTTACATTAAAATTTATCTATACGAATTAATATAACTGTAGCGTTAAGATCAACATGAATTGAATGATATATGCTATGCTATTAGAAGAAAATTCTTTCTTTCAAATGTTTAATACTTGTAAAAGTTTTCATTTTGTAGTGTAGTACACATTGTGGGTTACCTACAATGCGAAGAGATGGTGCTTGCAGCTTAAGAATTGCTAGAAGAATTTCGACGCGGCCATCAGGGCCGCGGTAGCATAATTGGTAAGTGCGTTCGCCCGGATAGCGAAGGGTGCGGGTTCGAGTCCCGTCTGCTGCCTGGTCCGCGTGGAATTTTTTCTAGTAATATTTTCTTTAAAAGTGATCCGCTTAAATTGTGGTGCATGACCATAATTCGCTTTAGTCACAATTGGACATTCAAACACGCTGCAATATAACAATATTGCGTATATTCTGTTTTATGAAGTTAAAATAATGCCTTCGATACTTTTATAGAGAACACAAATAGTTCAAAATCAAATAACAAAAGCCTCGGCAACATTTTTCAATTGTAAAAAAAAATCTCAAAAATCGCGGTTTGCCGTGAAAGTTATTTACGTAATCGCCATTTTGTTATCAAGAAAAGGAAAACAAAACGCTGCGTTGAAGCGTATTGTTCTGTCTCGCTCGCTCGATTGAATGTTTATATACAGTGTGCGTGTGTGAGAGTTCCTTATGTAGTTGAGTCGCATCATATTTTTTGTTTGATGCTAGTATGAGCGTACCGTATCTATCCTTTTTGTTTTAATCTAAGAGTGTATCAAAGTAAGTATTAAAGAAAAACTTGTATTTGTTTTTTTTCTATTGTCACAGGACAATTCCTCTGCAGTGTAGCGGAGACAACATTCCTCCTGCTTCTGATATTAATGGCTAAAGGATACACTATAACTAGAGGGCGCCTCAAAGTCGGCTTCACCGTCAAACTGACCATATTCATGTGCTGTTACATAGTCACATACATGATACTCTTCATATATCAAGCTAAGGTATGGATACTTGACGACCTCCGTGGCCAAGTGGTTTGTACGCCGGGTTTCATGGCGTCGCCGACTCGAGAGTTCCCGGGTTCGAATCCCGGTGGGGGCAGATGTTTGTGTGACGAACACGAGCATTTGTACTCCAGTCATGGATGTTTAATATGTATTTCTATATAAATATACTTATATAAGTAAAGTATATGTATTCTACCCGTTACCCTAGTATCCCATAACACAAGCCTTATAGTGCTTACTTTGGGGCTAGGCTAATTGGTGTGAGCGTTGGAAATATTTATTTATTAATTTTCAACATATTTGCTAAAAATATGCTTTTACGAATGTTGTTTGAATTGTTTCGAAGTTTAAAATTACGCATCATACAACAGAGCGTGCGGTAAATATTTTACCGCACGCTACGTTATATGGCACCGTGCGTATCCTTCGCGAGTTTTTTTTTTAAATTTAGATCGAATCTCCTTGGAATGCCTTTTGATCTATACGTTTGTCTCACTTTAATACTAAAAAGAGAAAAGGAGCCGAAAGATGAAAGTCTAATTTTCACCAAAATACGAAATGCGCGCCATTTTCTCCTTAGAAAAAAGTTTCTATATTGCTTAAAATTATACTTTTTTCTTGCAAATATGTTGAAAAAAGATATTATTTACTAATTTAGTACACACTCAATAAAACAGATAGAGTCTGTGCGAGAGGGCGTGGCGAAAAACGGAACTAACATTAAGATTTTTATTTGGCAATCAAACCCAGCAATCTGTAAAACGTCAAAGTTTTGTATTGATACGGATTTGTTTGTTGTTGTGATTTCTTGCGGTTATTTGTATTTAATCGTGTCTAAAAGGGGTAAAAACTTACAAATACGGTAGAAAAGCACTACAGCGCCCTCCAATCTAAATCCCATTCTCTTTCCGCACAGACTCTGAAAAGAAACAAGAAATTTGTACAAGGGTACTGCTTATTTCATCTAGCAGGCCCTTAACAAAAGGCCTTTGAAGTTGTATGATATTCCTCCTGAATACGATAAACCCCCGACTTCGTGTCGGGCTTACTATTACATATATTTTACTACAATTTGAATGCTGATTCACTCAATGGAGAAGAAAACTGCCAATTTATCCCGCCAGAGGCGCTGGTGTCGAATGACCCTTCAACATAACAACATTGTATTTAAATCTAAAGAAAATTTTACTAGAAAAAAATCCACGCGGACCAGGCAGCGGACGGGACTCGAACCCGCACCCTTCGCAATCCGGGCGAATGCGAACGCATTGTAGGTAACCCACTAATCGCATTGTAGGTAGTGCGAAGAGATGGCGCTGCCTTGCAGCTTAAGGCTAGGAAAAATTTCGACGCGGCGAATAGGGCCGTGGTAGCATACTGGTCAGTGCATTCGCCCGGATTGCGAAGGGTGCGGGTTCGAGTCCCGTCCGCTGCCTGGCCCGCGTGGATTTTTTTTTAGTAAACTTTTCTTTAGATTTAAACATCTAGCAGTTAAATGCTTAAATATAAATAAAAACATAACTTTGTATTTGTTATAGGAGTTTGATCCGGGCGAAGTATTGTATTTGTACGAGAGCCCAGCGGGTTACGGCTTGATTGTTCTACGCGTTCTGGCGTGGTGTGTGTTCGCTTACTCTACCTTCTTCACCGTCAAGAAGTACCCGGAAAAGGTCAGTGTTAGGTCATCATCAGTGAGCAGATTGTCAGGCTTATTATAGGAAAATAATTTCCTATAGGTTCAAACAGCAAACACTATATTTTACTTGCAGAAAATACTTTATTGGAGAGAAATCACGTTGAAGTCGTATAAACGGAACCGGAGAAGAATAAGTTTCGTTTAAGCAAAAGTCGCGTTCGGCTGCGGTCGTTGGAGTTGAGCAACTTTCGCAATGGTCGGTCATTGGATGGGTGACCAAAAATTTACTATCTCGAGCTCCTCCGTGCTTCGGAAAGCACGTTAAGCCGTCGGTTCCGGCTGCATCTGCAGTCGTTAGCACCCACCAACCCACACTGGGCTCGCGTGGTGGGTCATGGCCCAATCTCCCTAATCCATCCATAGGGAAGGCCTGTGCCCCAGCAGTGAGGACATTAATAGGCTGATGATGATGATTATAATAATAAGTCTGTATCTAAGACGTCCAGGTGGCAGCTTTATTACGAAGAAAACGCATTTTTTTACAATAGATGGTGCGCTTAAATGAGTAATTCTGAGGGATAAACTTTTTAATGTAATATAAATTGCCATGTTTGTGTACGATAGCGCAATAAATAAATATTGTATTCTACTACATTCATGATAGTACTTTTGTACTGATAATTAAAGAAATTCGTGCAAAATTATTCCCTAACCATTCCAAAATATCAAAAATGCACAACGTTAATATTCAAGTTTTCACTTCTGCCGGCACTCCCGGAGTGCAACGCGTCGTTTTTTTTAAACAGGTTTCTTTGATTTAACTCCAGTAAAGTAAAAAATACCACAGTATTATTTTTAAGAAATAGGGGCCCAGTTAATTGTAGTTAAAAAACAAATAATTTATTAAAATCGAATGGAGAAATACTTAAGTAATGATGTTAATATCTTCACAGAATGCCTTCTACTGCCCATTCTCCATCTGCGGTACACTATGGTTCTACGCGGGACCACTTTTTATACTCACAGCCAATTCATATATAGGTGAGTTTATATAAAATAACATTTACAATTAAAGAAAGGGGATGAGTCAAATATCATAGACAAATAACCCAGATGCAAAAGATATCAATCTAAAATTTTAGAGAATAAATTATAATAATATTCTTTAAAATACTGTTTTTAATGTGAGCTCACTATTATTGAAACAGAATTTTCTAAAGAAAATATTACTAGAAAAAATTCCACGCGGACCAGGCAGCAGACGGGACTCGAACCCGCACCCTTCGCTATCCGGGCGAATGCACTGACCATTATGCTACCGCGGCCCTGATGGCCGTGTCGAATTCTTTCTATCCTTTCTCAAGCTGCAAGGCAGCGCCATCTCATCGCATTGTAGGTAACCTACAATGTCAAATGAACACCTTTACAAGTATTAAATATTTAAAAGAAGAAATAGCAATTATTATTGTTATAATTTTTAAGCATGTAACTGCTCGATGTTTAAATCTAAAGAAAAGTTTTACTAGAAAAAGACATTGTGGGTTACCTATAATGCGAAGAAATGGCGCTGCCTTGCAGCTTAAGGCTAGGATTTTTTTTTTCTAGTAAAACTTTTCTTAATATTTTCCATTGTAAAAAAATCACCGAGGGCTCGAAAACTTGTCCGACAAAAAGTGTAGTTTTAAACTAATTAAATGACAGATCCCGCTCAAATTTTGCGCGGTAAATCAGTACAGTGCTACCAACATGCAGAAAAAAATTTAAAACGACTACTTTTACACGGGTCTTTTTATTGACGGTATTCCTGATACTTTTTACACAAAGTAGTATAATATATATATTTTTAATTATCTATTAAACATTTTGTTTTAGACAAATGGGTGAGAGAAAGCGTCGTTATTGCAGTATTGATGTTTATAACGTTCAGTGGACACATTATGTTTTTAGTAAGTATAAAAAACAGCGAGCCTTACAGTAGTCGCGTATGATGTGTAACATTTGAAACCTCACCTTATATTAGTAAAAAAAGAAATAAAACCTACTACAAAAGGAATAAGCCATTTGAACATTATGTTCTAAAATAAAATAAAATAGCGCGAGCTTTCGCGACTTCCTGTTACACACTTACGTTCCATTTCACGAAATCACTCCCACAAATTGCAAGAAAGCGAGAGGAAAGATGTTACACATCAAAAATCTAATAAGCATTGTTTTAAGCTTTCATGGTCATCATCAACATTAGATAAATTTATGTTATTTACGAGATTGTTACCATGTACCTTGTTTTTAGCAAGTTTCCGTTCTTTCGGCCGTAACTCCGTGATCATGGCGCTTGCAACAGTGCCGAAACATTATTCATTCATCATCATCATCAACAGCCTATCTTAGTCCACTGCTGGACACAGGCCTCTCCAAATGCACGCCACTTAGATCGATCTTGGGCTACTCGCATCCAGCTCCTGCCAGCCACCTTGCGCAAATCGTCACTCCATGGCGCCTGAGGACGTCCTACACTACGTTTGCCTAGACGCGGTCTCCACTCCAGAACTCTTCTACCCCAACGGTTATCGGTTCTTCGACAAATATGGCCAGCCCACTGCCACTTCAACTTGCTAATCCGGTGGGCTATGTCGATAACTCTGGTTCTCTGTCGGATTACCTCATTTCTGATGCGATCCTTCAGAGAAACGCCGAGCATAGCTCTTTCCATAGCGCGTTGAGCGACTTTGAACCTGTACCGTCCGACCAGCCGTACCGTCAGTGTCCACGTCTCGGCTCCGTATGTCATCACAGGTAGGACGCACTGATCGAAGACTCGTCTTTAGACACTGCGGGATCGACGATGTCAGGACTTGACGTAACTTCCCAAACGCTGCCCAACCTAGCTGAATTCTTCTATTCACCTCGTCCTCAAAGTTGTTTCTACCTAACTGCAGTGTCTGTCTACACATATTTTTGAACCCGTGTATTGCAATCGGTTCCGGTAGAACATGTTCATTGAACATGACCTTGGTTTTATCCAAGTTCATCCGTAGGCCGATGCGTATAGAAGAGTCAGCCAGGTCATTCAGCATCTGTTGTAGGTCCTGCAGGGTTTCTGCCATGATGACGATGTCGTCTGCAAATCGCAAGCGAGAGATGCGTTCGCCATTTATGTTGATGCCACGTCCTTTCCAGTTCAGCGTCTTGAACATATCCTCCATTGCATTAGTGAACAATTTCGGGGAAATAACGTCCCCTTATCTCACTCCACGATGCAATGGTATGGGACTTGTTTGCTGATTCTGTACTTGGACAGACATGGTGGCGGCTTCGTACAGATATCTAATCACTTGGATGTATCGCCAGTCGACTTGGCAACGTTGCAGGGACTCCAGAACAGACCAGATTTCAATCGCGTCAAAGGCCTTCTCATAGTCCACAAATGCTAGGCACAGGGGCTGATTGTACTCTTCAATCTTCTGTATAATCTGCCGCACTGTGTGAATGTGGTCTATGGTGCCGTATCCGCTCCGAAACCCAGCCTGTTCCGGTGGTTGGAAGTCATCAAGTCTTCGCGCAAGACGGTTCGCGATCACTCTTGAGAACAGCTTATAGACGTGGCTTAGAAGGGATATGGGTCGATAGTTCTTAAGTTGGGTCTTGTCCCCTTTTTAAAGAACAAGACAACCACACTCATACTCCACGCCTCCGGAGTTCTCCCTTCGAACAGGTCAGTGTTGAAAAGGTTTTGGAGCTCCCTCAGTACGGGTTTACCTCTAGCCTTTAAGAGTTCTGTTGAAACACCATCCTCTCCAGGGGCTTTTCCATTTTTAAGCTGTCCAAGAGCAATTTCGATTTCGCCAATACTGACTTCTGGCAGGTCTTCGGTGAAGTGGCGTGTTAATGTGGCTCTAGAATCCTCATTTCCGGAATCGGGTCGAGATGCATGTGATGCGTACAACTGGCTGTAGAAGTCTTCCACTTCCGAAAGGACTGCCGGCTTTGAAGCAACAACTTCCCCACTTGCAGTGGTCAACTTCGTCAGATGACTTCTTCCAAGAGATTGTACGAACACTTTCGATTCTCGATTCTGCTCGATCGCTCTCTCGATCGAGAGAGTATTGGAGCATCGGAGGTCGTGTCGTACGTGCTTACTGATCTCTTGGTTTAGAGTCCGCTTTGCCGACGAAGTGACGGGTGGATTTTCACGTCGTTCCTTCATTAGCCCTAAAGTCTCTTCCGAAAGCTTTGACTTCCTGCCCTTACGCTGCGTTGCACATAATCTCGTACCCGAAGAGGGTACTGAGGATCCGAACCACATTTTCGAGGTTTTGGTTTACGTCTGTTGTGGTTTCCACGGCAGCAAATCGGTTCTCCAGATTTGACTGGAACGTTTCAGACCCTGTTATAGATTGGAGCAGAGTAGGTTGGAGCCTGGATTTCATCAACGGACGCGCTCGGCCTTAAAGTTGATATTCAAAGAGCCCCGGACGAGTCGGTGATCACTACCGGTATTGAACCTGTTGATCACTGAGACGTCTCTGAATATGTACCTCTTGTCCGTCATGATGAAATCGATCTCATTTTTAGTCATAGTATCGGGGCTTTGCCACGTCCACTTCCTTTGGGGCTGTTTCTTGAAGAAAGAGTTCATCAAGAAGAGCATGATTCCTCGAACGGGAGGGCCGTTCGAGGAAGTTGACAAGCATTTGCCCCCTATGATTTCTGCTTCCAAATCCATGGGATCCTACTACCGATTCGCTGCAATTCTGTACTCCCACTTTAGCGTTGAAGTCCCCCATAACAACGTTGTAGTGGGTCTTAGTAGTGGAGTGGAGGGCCCTCGATATATCATCGAACATATCCTCCACTTCGTCGTCCGAGTGTGTCGAGGTCGGTGTGTACACTTGCACCACCTTGAGGCTATACCTCTCGGTGAGCTTTATAATAAGGTACACTACCCTGTTCGACACGCTGGACATTTCCACAACGTTATCGGCAAGGGACTTATTCACCAAAAACCCAACGCCACCTTGGGACTGTTGGTCTCCCCCGCGGAAGTACATTAGGTGGCCCGATTCGAGCGTTATGGTGTCCTCCCCCTCTCTTCGGACTTCACTTAACCCTAAAATGTGCCACCTAATCTTCCCAAGTTCCACCTCGAGTTGCGCCAGATGCGAGTCAAGCCGTAGCGTGCGTCCGTTGTACGTCGCCAGGGTCAGTCTATTGTGGTGGCCTCCCGTATCCCGGAGATTCTTCACACCCCCCGCCCCGCCCCGTGGTCGCCACCGTGATCAGGAATAACGGGGCTACCGGGAATTGGGGGCCGTGGCTTTTTGTTTGTGTGCATTCAAGGTATTGCCCATAATCGCCACGCTGGGCAGGCGGGTTGGCGATCGCAGAACGTAGGTTATTTCACTGATGACGCTGCTGCCCGTCACCAATGAGATTTTCCTCCCCTACGTCGTTGGATGGTTATACCGCCATCGGTCGGTTTGCCAGAGCCTCGTCTGTTGGTCAACAGGGTGCACCACGTGAAGGTGAGGTTGGCTTGGGTTCTTGCAGGTATATTAAGAACCCCTTACACCCCGATTATTCATTCATGTAACATATCATTCCAATAAGCATTGTGTACACATCTGTGAAACAGATGGAAAATTAACCATTTACCTAAAGGGTTGGCAGTTGTATAATCCGTTTTTAATATAAATTTTATGTTATTCCATTGTTATGAATGAGCATAATATATTATTATTTTACAGCTATTAACATTGCCGGTTTTTGCAAACAAGAATTTTCCATACCATGTAAGGACGACGCAAGTGGGGGTTATGGAGGTAAGTTGACAAAGATGTGTACAATCGAATAAGTTTGCAGTCTGTCATCAACGATATTAAATAACATACAACATCACGAACAAAATCATGGCCGAAACCTGTCCAAAAGGTACATTGGACAATCCACGAAGCTCCGTAAGATGATCGCGTTGTCAAAATCAAGGCATTATTTTAACATTAAAAGTCACCTTCAAAGCAAACTAGCTAAAGTTTTTATTAAAAAGCATGCGTCAAAGAGTTATGACAGTTCGAAACTGTAGCTCGTAAAATTTTACGACTTATTACTATATGCGGAAGATTAAAGACCTTATTTCTTTGACTGTACGCGCAATTCTAAATGCGCTGTTAGCAATATAACAGGTACGGACCGCGAAGAAAAGAGTGGATATAGAATCGGTTATATAGCCATCTTTTTTCTGAAAATATTTGTGATATTGAAATACATGGTCGGCCAAGTATTGTAAATTTTAAAACAAATTTGCTTCAAATGCGTTAAATTAACAAACAATGATTGAATACCTGTCGAAAATACATTACATTACGTACTATAAGTATTTTTTTCGCATTTTTTCACGGATCTCTGCGGCATCTTGACTTTTCAACGGTCCGCGCGTGACTGTGAACCAAGAAGTGCTTGAGTGGAGTTCATGCAATTCTTGATTGGGACACATTTTGAGCGCACGTGGTGTATCAGTGGTATTTAATATCGTTACCTGTCATATTTAAGAGCATAGGGGTTAGTGCATTCACCCAGATAGTGTGGAACGCTGGTTTGATTCTAAGCAGGCGCAAATACAATTTCTAAATTATCTTAAGATAAAAAAAAACTTTCAGTAAAAATGAAGCGCAAGATAACTTATACATTGATTAAATGTCAATAATTTTTTACAAACTGTATTACGTCTGAGCTTAAAATATATATTATTACTAGCTGTCCCAGCGAACTTCGTACCGCCATAAAAAATAGGGGTTGGTGGTAGAAGGGTGAAAATTTAGGGTTGTATGTATTTTTGTATGATGTATCAAAACTAATAATTTTGTCCAAAAGAAATTAATAAATTTAAGGGTTGACCACCCTAAACTTTTAGGGGGATGAAAAATAGATGTTGTCCGATTCTCAGGCCTACTGAATATGTATATCATATTTCACGAAAAACAGTCGAGCCGTTTCGGAGAAGTTCAATTACGCACACCGTGTCCCGAGAATTTTATATATTAGATTAGATGTTTGGGTTTAAAAATATTTATTATGTTTTTTCTCTCTCTTCAGGTGACCGGAAGCTCCGCACTGGATGGTTTTGGACCAAACCCTTACCACCCGAGTAACGGTGCAGCACAGACTGTTATCATCCCTCTCACAAGGTAATACGGGTCAAAATCCCTTAATTATCATTCACAGCACTGAGAAATCACAATTAAATGTTTGTAATACGATTTTTTAAAATAAAATAATAAATAAATATATCTTACACTCACACCAATTAACCTAGCCCCAAAGTGAACACTATACATGCATGTTTATATATTGATATAGGTACAAATGCTCGTATTGATCATACAAATATTTCTGTTTCGTTTCCTTTCCTCTCCTCTTCTTTCGCCTCTCACCATTATTAAACCGTTCTCTCCTCTCCCTGTCTTTCCTACCCATTCGACCTCCCTGGCTGCATCTCGACCCGGCCTCGGATTCTAATGGGGCTACTCTACCAACTATCGAATCCTGTACATCACAGTTGTTTTATTCATCAACTTAAAATGTAATAAATAAATAAGTGTTTAAAAAAAAACATTTCCTCATACAATCATGTGTAAATGCGCACCATTTTCTTATTAGCAAAAGTTTAATTAAATACTATATTCCTTAAATACCTTTACCAGATAGGTACTGGTTTCTCGCAAATGTGTTGAAGAACGTTGTATGACATTCGTGAGGAATTGATATATAAAAACTCGTGACTATATGAGGCCTATCTTACTTAGGCTAGTATGGCATCTCAAATTTAGATCACAGACTAAAAACCGTAACAGTGATTATGCTGCCATCTAGTGAATATTCGTTGTATCACTTTTAGACCACTCTGGTTCTATCAAAATGATCAATTTGAACTGGAAAAAATTATAAGCACAATATTGTAAAAAAATTAGTTAGGTCACTATGGTTCTCAATGCCTCATATACTCTACTCGTTTGTAATAACCAACTTATCGCATTAATATCATAAGTAACTATTAATTCATTTCTTTGCAGAAGAACAGAAGAGTTAATAGGCAACATGTACAGTCAATACATGGCCTCGGCACCCCCGCTTTCATTAGAGAACGGAACCCCAAAACTCAACGGTGTGCCAAAGAGCATAGACTCAATATCACCCCAGAACGGAATATACAAACAGGACAGCACAGAAACAAATGTTTCGGACGACATAAAACCAATACTCAACGACAAAGACGCAGGAATTTTCACTGTGGAAAGTCAAATGTCGAAAATAGAGACTGTATTGCCAGTTCCGGTCGAAAAAACGGTGTTGCCGCACGAAAATAATTCCCCCAAAAATGGGGAGCTTTCGAGGGGAGATTTGCCTAACGTCTTGAGGTCTAGGAGGACTATTTTGGAGCCGATAAAAGACCCGCCGGTACCGAATTGGTCTTTGGCTAAAGGACCGTGCGTTGTTGCTATGCAGAAGAAAATTGTCAGCGTAGATGAAGGTAAGTCCGTTTGTGCATTTAATACGATGTTTAAAATTCAAATTTTAGTTTGAAGCTTTAATGATTAGAGAGAGAGATACCGCTCTATGCGCATGATTGTGTCTCGGTCTAACAATACCATATTTTTCTACTTCATGCAGTACGCACATGTTACAGCACAAATTCTCGGTATGATAAATATCATCAGTGCCGGCTTTGACCTATTCGGGGCCCTGGGCATAGTAGGATAATGGGGCCCCTATGACCCCCGTTTGGTGATTTAACAGGAACTAGGGACTTTGTATTTGATTTGAGGGGAGTATCGATCGCGGGGCCCTGGGCACTTGCCCAAAGTGCCTACTGGGAAAGAGGGGTCTGAATATCATGATTTTCATCATCAGCTTATTATTGTCCCCACTGCTGGGGCACAGTCTTCTCTATGGCCGGAATAGGGAGATTGGGTCATGACCTACCACGCGGGCCCAGTGCGGATTGGTAGAGGCTAAGGGCTGCAGATACCAAATTTCAAGATCCTAAGTTCACGGGAAGTACCCTGTAGGTTTTGATTCATGTGCGAGTTCCTAAAATTTGCGGCATAAACGGCTGTAACTTTTGAATGCTTTAGCTTAGAAGTTTGATTTTTTCACAGCTCCAAGGGACAGTAGACATGAGTATTACATATGAATTTCAGTTTCATACCTCCACGCGTTCCTGAGAAAAACGGTCTTGACAGACGGACGGACGTACAACAAGGGTTTCGTTTTTTTTCCTTTTGAGGTACGGAACCCTAAAAAGCGAGTGTGCTTATGACCACACGACTGAAGTAAAGCTTATCACCCACCAATCCGCACTGGGTCCGTTATCACCCACCAATCCGCGCTGGGTCCGTTATCACCCACCAATCCGCGCTGGGTCCGTTATCACTCACCAATCCGCGCTGGGTCCGTTATCACCCACCAATCCGGGCTGGGTCCGTTATCACTCACCAATCCCCGCTGGGTCCGTTATCACCCACCAATCCGCGCTGGGTCCGTTATCACCCACCAAGCACTAGATTCATGTATTTTGTGACGGGTATTGTTCATTGTTTACCGATGAGTCACCGATGACACTAATCGTAACGCGAAACCATAACACATTCGCCATTTTACCACCCAAGTTAAGCGTGCTAAGAAGTTTTACTTCAAAAATACTTTTTACTTGCAGATACAGAACCAAAAATGTGCCTGCCCAACGGCAAAAAAGTGCCCCCCGTAAGGAACGGGTTACAACCGCGCGCCGGCGAGATTTCAACCATTCACGAAGGGCGGATTCAGACATATTCGCGTACTGCTGATTTGTTCAACGCTAGCAGTGGCAATGGTTGAAACGACACAAATAATATTTTATTTGATCACTTTTCTGTTAATTTATGACTGAAAAACCGCACTCGACTTCAATTTATTAAGTAAGTTTGAAGTTCTCTGCCTCCTAAGAAAAATAAAGCACCCTCATGGGATCCCAAAGTTTATAATGACCGTTTAAGATCATTTTATGTCTCATATTGATTATATTGATGAAATATTAAATTAAGTTACAATGTATAGAAAATGTGTAAGCAAAAAAGTGGAACTCAGTATTATAAGTTGCGGCTACTTATTCTGTGCGTCTAAAATAGCGAGATTACATGTTACAAAATATAATGTAAAGAATACGATCCACAGTTATGTTGTTTTTGTAAAATATTTCAACAAAAGTCGATGGCTGTAAAGGTCGGCTCCCTTTGCCTCTCCACTTTTATAAAACTGGATAAATCACACAAAAAAAAACAAGTTTTTGTAAATATCAATTTGTCAATGTGTGAGTGTGTATGTGTGTTTCTTTCTAGTCAAGTAGCCAACTTTTTGGAATAAAACAATTTCTCAATATCAACACTTCGTTTTTATTTCATTAATAATAATTATTACAAACATACAGTCTTATTATTCGTACAACACAATGTTTAGAACAAAAAAAAATCAAAACTTGAATAGATGTATTTTAAGACGACGGAAAGCGCCTTTTTTGATTTTTAAATAAAACTCAATTTTCTTATATAATACTTAATAACTTTACTTACAGCCAAAATCTGTTTTACCAAAACATTTTCAGTAAGATTTTCTGTGAACTATACAAACCTAGAAAGTATTTGCTTCGTAGCAACATCTGTTACGTTTGATGGAAAATAACATTCTTCTCATTAATAAATAAATGAGATCGAAACCTCTTCACAAATTGTAGAGTTCAATCAATATCAAGCTTCTTTTTGTGTGGACTGCTTTAGGATTTTGACCTTTATTTCTATTGATACATGACCGAATATAGCATGTTAACTATTGTTAACAAAGTACTTTTAGCAATTATGAGGATAATTTGTCTAGCTGTCATAATTAGTTGCAGAATTTGTGAATACAAACGAGGTAACGTCAGTATGGGACTTAAACTGGACATTAAAATGTTATCTATTCAAGTACAACAATTCTTGTGTAAGCAATTATTACGCTAGCTTTGTAACTGTGAGCACAGCTGTGACATATTATACTATTCAAATCAGACATATTTCTCTATTTCATTACTAATTTTAACTCATTCAACATAAGGTTCAAAATTGATAGAGAAATACAAACCAAACTTTTCATTTTTCTCATTGTATTAAAAAGCACACTAGACACTTATGGTAGACATACACACTACGAGAAATCGTTACGATTAGACTGTACAGTCCGAACGGTACCGATAAATCGTAGCGTGTATGTTTTAAACTGCACAGTTTCCCATAAGTACACCACGTACGATAAACTGTTCCGTTCGAACTGTACCGTCTGATCGTAACGATTTCTCGTAGTGTGTATGGCTACCATTAGGGTGTTTAAAAATAACTTTCTATTGCACAAACAAAAAAATTCTTACCAATATGTCCTAATTTCATTTTGGTTCCTTTCGATTATCCTACATTTTTAAATTCCTAATTTATCGCATTGCACAACTGTCTTTACACATGATAGCATTTTTTTTATACCCCAAACTAACTTGATACATCACTGTTTAAATTTGGTTAGATAAAAGAAAATGTGTATAAGAAACAGCTAATAAAATTATTGATTAATTTTAACAAATATCAGGATATATTTTAATTTTTTAACTGCTAGATGTTTAAATCAAAAGAAAAATTTACTAGAAAAAAATTCCACTCGGACCCGGCAGCAGACGGGAGTCGAACCCGCACCCTCCGCTAGCCATTGATGCATTGACTATTATGCTACCGCGGCTCTAATATTGTCCGTGTCGAACTTTCTCTAGTATTTCTTAAGCTGTAAGGCAGCGCCATCTCTTCGCATTGTATGTAACCCACAATGTCAAATGAATACCTTTACAAGTATTAAAACATTTGAAAGAAGAAATATAAATGATATAATTGACAAAATTTTGACATTTCATGCGAATCGATATAGGAACCCTTATCGGAGTAAAAAATTGAGTCTCAAAGCAAGAGTACTTGTTAATTCTCCCATTTCTTGAATTCAAGTCCATCTGGTGGCTTCACCTCTACCTTATCTTTGGCGACTTGATTCCAGTTTGTGCTCAGAACTGTACCTCCAGATTCAACCTATTAATGTAAAAATAGTATTTATATATTTTTATACTTTATTGGTGAGTAAGAAATTGGTAGTAAGTAGACATTTAATTTTCAGTTTTTCATCGATGAAGCATCGAAAATGAAAGCAAAAATGGACAGTCTAATTTCAACTTTAGGAGCATAAAGCTCAAAGTCAGTTGGAGAAATCCGTAAGTTTTGGGAAACTTGAACCAGACGGCCTATTCGCAAACATTTTTTGACATTTACAGGGTGGAACTAAAGAGATAATTGCATAATCATTGATGCTTTTCAGAAAAAGTATCTTAATCATTTGATTTTTTTTAAGCATTTTACTGCTAGATGTTTAAATCTAAAGATAAGTTTACTAGAAGAAATTCCACTCGGGCCAGGCAGCAGATGGGACTCGAACCAGCGCCCTTCGCTATCCGAGCGAATGCACTGACTGTATTGTAGGTAATCCACAACGTCAAATGAATACCTTTACAAGTATTAAACATTTTAAAGAAGAAATAGCAATTATAGTTATATTCGATTTTTTAAGCATTTAACTGTTAGATGATTAAATGTAAGGAAAGTTCGAGTCCGGGTTTGAGCCCCGGCTGCTGCCTGGTCCGCGTGGAATATTTTCTAGTAAACTTTTTTTTATATCTTAGTGTCGTTATAATAAAGCAGTAGTGGGTTATGCCAAATAGCTCGGTTATTATCACTTCCATCTGTCAAAAGCAGTTAGCAAATAGGCCTACAGAGCTGTCATACAATGAAAATATTAAAATTATGTAAGTATTCTGATTCTTTCATTGTCAAAATCATAATTCATTTTACTTACAAAGCTTTTATTCATAGCTCTTCGGACCTCATCAGAGCCTTCTCCGTATATCTTCTGGAAGAGTGCGTTTAATGCTGCCTCTCCTTCAGGCTTCTCTTCTTCTTCCTAGGAAGATGAAGAGTAATGGTTCATTGAAAATTACTTTCACACATGACAACCAACTAACTCAATGAAGTAACTACACTCAGTGCCGTCTTTGACCTATGGGAGGCCCTGGGCATATTAGGATAAAGGGGCCCTTACGAAGTATGGACATTGTATTTGATCTGAGGGAGGCCCCTATTGATCGCGGTGAGCACTAGCCCAAAGTGCCCACTGGGAAAGACGGGTCTGATTACACTTTTAATATAAAAAAATAGTGTGCACCACACATCTTCGTTCAAAAAACACCAAAAAAACAAAAAAATAAACTTTGATATATTGAGTTGCTTAAGCGCAAAAAAAGGACTCAAATCGACACGAAACATAAATCGATCGAAAAAAATCTGATTAAAATAAAATGATATACTTAAGTAACTCATTTTCGACCTAATTCGGGTATAAGCGAATATTTGTAATGGAAGGTGACTTCATGAATTATCTATTTTTGAAGTCATTTTTAGGGTTCCATACCTCAAAAGGAAAAAACGGAACCCTTATAGGATCACTTTGTTGTCCGTCTGTCCGTCCGTCCGTCTGTCAAGACCGTTTTTCTCAGGAACGCGTGGAGGTATCAAACTGAAATTCATACCTTATACTCAGGTCTACTGTCCCTTGGAGCTATGAAAAAATCAAACTTCTAAACCAAAGCAATCAAAAGATACAGCCATTTATGCCGCAAATTTTCGAAACTCGCACGGGAATCAAAATCTACAGGGTACTTCCCGTGAACTTAGAATCTTGAAATTTGGTACGAAGTAACGTCTTATAGTACAGATAAAGCGAAAATTGCGAAAACCGTAAATTTTTAGTTACATCATAAAATAAAAAATATTTTTGAATATTTTTGTACGGAACCCTCGGTACGCGAGTCCGACTCGCACTTGGCCGGTTTTTTATTCAATTTAACGACTGTATAAAATACAGGGAGAAAAAAACAACCCTTGTTGAGTTACTTGCCGGTTCTTCTCAGTACAAGGTCTGCCGCCGTAGATTTGCGACATAGATATACATATACATTTACATTTATGGCATACTATTTCGAAATTCAGAAGTGGTTGTAACAGCCTAGACCTTAGATTAAAACAAAAAGGGACGATACGGCACTCGCGGCTCAAAAATGATCCGCTTAAATTGTGGTGAATGACCACAATTCGCTGTAGTCACAATTGGACATTCAAACACGCTGCATGTACACTTAATATAACAATATTGCGTATATTCTGTGTTACAAAGATAAAACAATGTCTTCGATGCTCTTATAAAGAACACAAATAGTTCAAAATTAAATAACAAATGCCTCGGCAACAGTTTTCATTCGTAAAACGTGAATGTTATTTACGTAATCGCCATTTTGTTATCAAGAAAAGGACAATAATACAGCTCAGCCGTTAGCACTCGGAAGCCGATTCGCCGTTTCACTCGCGCTTCGCTGAAGCTGTCACACAGTTCTGTCTCGCTCGCTCGATTGAATGTTATTTACAGACGTGTGCGTGTGTGAGAGTTGCTTATGTAGTTTAGTCGGATCATATTTTATTTGATGCTAGTATGAGCATTTTGAGGAGCTCGATGGCGTAGGTGGTTAGCGCGTTCGGCTGCGATCGTTGTAGTTAAGCAACTTTCGCAGTGGTCGGTCATTGGATGGGTGACCAAAAAAAAAATTTCTATCTCGAGTTCCTCCGTGCTTCGGAATTCGGAAGGCACGTTAAGCCGTTGGTCCCGGCTGCATTTGCAGTCGTTAGCACCCACCAATCCGCACTGGGCCCGCGTGGTGGGTCATGGCCCAATCTCCCTATTCGACCCATAGTGAAGGCCTGTGGCCCAGCAGTGGGGACATTAAGAGGCTGATGAATGAGCGTACCGTATCTTCCCTTTTTGTTTTAATGTAAGGCCTAAACTGAATAAATGATTTTGAATTTATAAGAATGTTAATGATGAAAATAAGAACATAGTTTTACTTACCATTTTCTTAATGTCTTTCTCTATTTTGTCCCAATCTTTTTTGAACAGTTTGGGCGGATGTTGTGGACCGGATGCATCTACTATGGCTGCAATAAAGTTGTTCAAATGGTATTTGTAATTTGGGGAACACAGTGAGTAAATAATATCGGCTTACATAGTAATTTGTTTATATATAGTCGAATATTTCACTAGCCACTTCGCACATTAAATTAAAAAATCGCCCACAACACTTCCACCTTATAGACCAACCAATCAAACGACGCGACATCAAACAAATGGACCCAATCAGAGCTCGCACCCAACAGCAACAACACAATCAGAACCAATTTTTGGGCAAGTTATGAGCATTTGCTCACACATAACTGTGGCTCGACCACAAGGCCCTTCTAGCCTCTTTCTGTGTTAAGTGTTTCGCAAGACATTTCGTTTCTTCAACAGATTGTTTGTAAGAAGGTGTGCAAGACAGAATATCCTGCATCATTATTTTCCATTTCATTCTTTGTTAGAATAAGTTAGTATGTTTTTCAATCTCACCTTGTGGTATTGCCTTCACAGCTTCTTCTTTTCCCTCTCCCTCCAACACATTCCATCTCAGTCCCTCCTTCTTTCGCAGCTTCACTTCTATTTTGGACGGAGTAACGACATATGTGCACATAGAAGGTACAATCTCGTGTGCAAGTTCTAATTCTAAGCTGTATTCTGAGTCTGACTGTGGCAAAGCACTCGTGACAGAGAGCTGTGAACAACATTCTTTGTTTTTTACCTGACTACAGAGGGCATTTTTTGGCACATCCAACAGTCTGAAAGGCTTTACGGATTTTGGAATGCGAGGTGTCATTTGATTCGTCATGATTGTGCGAGTGACACTAGGTATATTAAAATTAAATAAATCAAAATGTCTAATTACAGGGGCCAAAATGAAAAATCTTGAAAAAAAATTACATCATGGGGTATCAAAGTAAAGGGTTTTAAAAGACAATTCAGAATATAGAAAAAGGTAAAAAAAAATTAAAACATCAAAAAACCGACCATCTTAAAACAATTAAGTTTTAATAAAAACTGAAAAGAAATAAGCAAGTCTAGTACACCAGATTTCTGTTAAGTAAGGAACAAAGCTACTTTAATAGTTGGGACCTATTAATAGGAAAATATGATCCATTCTATAATATCTAATAGACCCTGACTGTTAAAATTGCTTTGTCCTTACTTTTCAGAATTCTGGAACTTGTTTTTGATTTTTATGGAGGGGTTTTTTAATTTTTATTTTATAAGAGTGGCAAACATGCATATGCCCCGCATGATGTAAGTGGCTACCCAGCGTAGCCCTGGAACCTTACTCACAGACAGAAACACAACACCACCAAAAGGTAATTTTATTTTACTGAGGCCTTCTTTAACAATAATATTGTGAACAACAATGCTGTTTTAAGATCAATACAACAATGTCTTATTGTAATGATATATTTGAATTTTTGTGCTTCTAAACATCAAGAAGATTAAGAGCTAGACATTAGTTTGCATTAGCCTGGTTTGGTAACTGTTTCTCTCAAAAACATGTGTTAATGTATAAAGGACTTGACTTTCATGACTTTATTACATAAATTACAATTTTAATAATATTACACACAGTCTTTCTACATCTAAAACCAAATAAACATAAAAGGTGTTCACCGTCACTTAAAATCAGGTGGGATGGAGTCATTTGTTGGAACTGTGTATAAAAAATATATTGAAGTTAGTTTAAATTCAAATCAACTTTTCAGAGCTAAAAACTAAGTTGATATTGATGTCGATTCTAGCATGATTCTCTAAAGCTAAACTTAAATTTGACAACAGTGCATCCTTGTCATTCTCTATACAGAATGAAAAGGAGAGACTGATGTTAAATTTAGTTATAAGTTTAGAGAATCACGCTAGAATCGGCACCATTGTATTATTAATTAATTTTGATGTACTTACTGGTTTTTCGCTATACAATGACAACATATTTTGCCATCCTAATGAAGAAATCTTTTTGAAAACTATTTTCTCAAAATAATGTTGCAATTAATAATAATAATAACTTTATTTGAAACAAGTTCATAGTACATACAATCAGGAAACGTTAAATCTGCTAAAGTTTTACAAAAACTGTGTTGCAGAAGAAATTACTGCACTTTTTACTAGGACAGCAGATTTACACCATTACAATGCAAGCAAATGAAAGTAGTGACTCATTTCTTTATCAAATTTGTCTCAAATGGATTTTTTCGCTTTTGATGTTAGTGGGTCAATCCATCCAAAAGCATTTAGCAGGTCAGCCCCCAAATAAGTAATGGAAGCCACTTCAGACAGTTCCATAAATTAGTTACTTACACTGCGATCTCCGTAATGTACTTTAACTTTATCGCTGGGAATATTTTTGAGCAAAATTGTGACAACTACTTGAGACTCGGTTTGATACCAGTCATGTTTGATTTTTGGTTTAGCAGCCTGAAACAAAATATTACCATGACTACAGAATAACCATTAAAAAAGAAGTATTCCACTTATAATAAATTGTTTAGATACTATAAAGTGCCTAACTTATTCACAAATATTACGCTCTTCCGGAATGATGGTAAGTTTATTTTTAGAAAGTTAACTAAAAAGCGACATTCTAACTCAGACCAAATAAAAAGTACATTCTAAGGATAAAAGTTTATATTTTTTAACATGTTCATCACATCTGATAAGTACTGACCTCAGATGGAGTATTATCCGGTGTGTCTGACATTTTGTGCTGATTGAAATTGTAAATAAATCGATGATATTTATTATGTATTCTTAGCTGAAATCTCAATCAAATAAATTCAAACAAAAAATTCAGTCGAGAACGGAGAACACTTCGGTACTTTTCTAGATCAACAATGTCAAAGTCAAGTGAACTTTCAAAATCAAAAATCAAGAGTTTCATCTTCTTTACGTTCTAAAACCACATATGTAAATTTTTTGTGGTTTTGATATATTTTGGATTTTAAATCAGTGTTTCCGTAATTTTCTTTGAAAATTCGGTATAGAATCTGTATGGCAATTTTTTTATCAAATCCCTATGAAATCCCTATTAAAAATTTGAACCTACCTTTGAGAAATATCATCAAGAACAATTTTTGAGAGAAAACGGAATAATCTTTGAAAAGAAACAAGCATTCTATCTATATTAATGTTTATAATTATATTTTTTTTTTAGATAGGTCCGACAAATGCCTCCACCCCATATGATGTTAAGTGACGGTGAAGTCCAGACGCGAAGATAGCTGATACAGCAGTTCTACCTGCCACACCAGCCATCCTCACCCTGCCGGCGTGCATGTTGCTTCTTGACGCTTCTTTTAAAGGATCCCAGGTTGTAAGAGGGAGGGAACACGTGAGCGGGCAGAGCATTCCACTTACCGATAGTGCGACAAAGAAATGAGTCCAAATTATCTAATGAAATTATAAAAAAAACGAGCGAGCCTTGCAGTAGTCGAGTATGATGTGTAACATTTGAAATCTCTCCTTATATTAGTAAAAAAAGAAATAAAACCTATTACAAAAGGAATAGGCCATTTGAACATTATGTTCTTTATTCAATCATCAAAAACCATTTCCAACCAATTTTTTGATGTGTAACATCTTTCCTCTCACTTTCCTGCAATTTATGGGAGTGATTTCGTGAAATGGGACGAAAGTGTGTAACAGGAAATCGCGAAAGCGCACCCTATTTGATCACGTCATTCATTAAATGGACGCAGCGGTAAAATATGTGGATATACTTATTATTAAAAATGCTTTTAACGCAGAAATTAAACAAAAATAGGTTTAAAGATATTCCAATTAAACTTGGTTGTATCATTGGTAAGGTCTAAAGTTTTGGTGTTTTTTCGAAACAAATTATAAACATATCATTTTGTTTCTTTTGTCAATCATAAAAAAATCGGGCTCGTTTTGACCATGTTTGGACTTAGGTGTTGTTTGAACTTAATGGTTGAATATATAGTTTTTATCTTTAAATTTTTCACGATGAAAAATATATACATCCTATTACTAATCAATCGTAGCATCTTTGACGGATGAGTGCAATATTATCAGCCCATTTGATTCTTCATCAACAACTATTTTAATTGAGTGTAATAGAAGAATTTAATTTATTTTTAAAATACTTTAAATATATGAAAATAAGTCTTTTTCTTTAAAATTATAAAGGCTGTATGGATTTGGATTCTTTAGGCTTACTAGTAGGAGAAAATTAAAAAGCAAAAAAGTAAACAAAACTCAAAAGTAATTTTCTTCAACCGCAAACTTGTAAAAATATTTATTTAATTTATAATTTAAGCAAACTGCACAATGCCATATTGACTTCTTGTTACTAAAACATATATTCTCATTAGCTTGCTACAGCCCAAAAGTTTTAGTAGCCACAGGTATAATGCGCGTAAGTCTATAAAGTTAGTAATAACCTTCAGTTTAAGATAAAGATTGCGAATTGATGTTATTAGTATTTTGTGAATGGTCTAGCATTTTTATTTGTTAGCTATAGCTATAGGTATTTTATAATGCAAAGGAATAACCTGCAATTTATCGGCATAACCTCACTGTCAATGTCATCTTATCCAAAGTTAATAACTTTATAGTATTAAATTGAATTTATTTCATGTTAATGTTATGACAACAACATACAGTTATCTAGTTCAATAGTTATTAAAACAACAACGAGTTAAACTATCTAAAACATAAAAAGCTAATTCAATTGTACTGCAAAATTATTTTCAGATTTGGAATCAGACTTTTTTACAAAAATTATACACGCAAGGAATCATCAGAAGAGTTAGTAACAGCGCAAAGATGACTTCTAAGAAAATAGCCGTTTGCCAAATGACCTCTGTAGCCAATAAAGGAGAGAATCTTAGTGTTGTTAGTAAGCTTGTCAATGATGCAGCTCGTGATGGAGCACAGGTGAGGAAAAAGAAACTATATCACAAGGGCGGATCCAGCTTTGGCGCCAGGGGTGGGGGGGTTCATATAGTCGTGGTCAAGTCACAGTGGGTACAGATTGTTCAGTACAGATTGTAAAGTGGGTACAGATGGACCCAGCCCAGGGGGGGTCATGACCCCCATGACCCCCCCCTCTGGATCCGCCCTTGCTATATCATCTTGGTTTATAAATTATGATTATGTTTTATAAATATGAAAGTTTGTACTGAACGGTTTTGGATGATAGGTATGCATATAGTCAATGATCTGAATAGAGACATTCAATACTTTTCATCCTGGAAAAATGTTAGGTTCCTGTAAAATTCTCAAAATACTAAAGTGAACAAATGAAAAGGCGGCGGTCACTAGTTAGCTCATGAATGTCCCATGATGAATTGCAGAGGAAAGTTTTAATTAATATTTTTCATTTAACCGCTAGTTTGTTAATACTAAAGTTTTTTTGCTAGAAAAAAATTCACGCAGACCAGGCAGCAGTAACATGGAATTTTTTCTAATAAAAAATTTTTTAAAACTATACATCTAGCAGTTTAATGCTTATAATATAAAAATATTACTACAATTGCTGTTTCTTCCTTTAAATCTTGAATATGTAAAGGTGTTTGTTTAACATTGTGGGTTACCTACAATGCAAAGTGATGTCAAAGTGTGCCTAAGAAATACTAGAAAGAATTCGACACGGCCATTAGGGTCGCGATAGTATAACGGTCAGTACATCAACCTGGATAGTGAAGAATGCCCATCATGGTTTTAGTCCCATCTGCCGCCTGGTTAACATATAATTTTTTCTAGTAAAAAATTTCTTCAGATAGTTTGTATCCCAATAATCATTCTGTAAGTGTGTGACAAGGGGGCAGGATTTTTTATGGGAAATCAATAGCACCACAAATATATCATTTCCTGAATCCCTGGCCAAAGAATCATTTTATTAAATATTATTATTAAGTAGTCTGTCTTATAAGCTAAGAGAATGGTGATTGGCCGGCGACACATCTTGTAATAGTCATCGAAGGCGAAATCAAAGGGAACCATAAGTTATATATTGATGTTGATGCTGACATGTTTCTCTGAACTTAAAACTAAATTTAACATCAGTCTCTCCATTTTAATCTAAACAGAATGACAAGGATTTTATTAAATATAAGTTTAAGTTTGGAGAATCATGCCAGCAGGCCAATCACAGGCACATCATCTGGTACTGTCGACCAATAGGGTTTGTCTAGGAGCATGGTGCGGTGAGGTGGTGAGGATGGGAGTGACCCACTTGAAGCAAAGACATAATGTTTAGTAGTCTATCTTATTAGCCAAGCTATATATTAGCATGTGTTAAGCTTAAAAAGAAAAGAAAAACACAAATGCAAACTTAAGTATCATCATTACCAGTTATTAAATTTTATTGATTAATATATTTATTGTTGCAGATGATATTTTTTCCAGAAGCTTGTGATTATATATGTGATAATAAGAATGACATAGTGAAATTAGCTGAACCAATACTGACCGGAGAAATAGTTGACAGTTATAGACGACTGGCCGCCAAGCATAAAGTCTGGTTATCTATGGGTGGTGTACACGAAAAGGTAGTTTAATATTTCTTTTTTTAGTAAATATTTTTAAAATTTGCGTCAGTGCCTCATTTAGTAATAGTTAAGTCAAAATCCTACATTTTATTGCAATAGTGATTTCTTTATTATGTTAAAAGCATTTGGCCCTCGTGATGATAAGCGGCCATCATAGCCAATAGATTCTAGCGATACCAAAAACATTATTGGTGCTGTGACTTATCCTGACCCAATCCCCTACCACATGCAGGCCTGGAATCTTAACGACAGAAACAACACTACTAAAAAGTAGTGTTATTTAACTGTGATCTTCTGTAAGGTGGAGGGTACTTCCCCGAACGGGCGCTCCAATTCGAGCGAAAAATCCACTATGACCTACTTCTCTTAAGTGAAGTGTGAATAAGTTTTGTTTACCCGACTGCGCACGCAAGCAGCGCGAAGCCCGACGCGCAGACAGGGTATCACTCTAATATTATAAAGGTGAAAGTTTGTGAGTGTGTATGTTTGTTACTTCTTCACGTCTAAACGGCTGGAGTAATTTTAATTAAATTTGGTATGAACTTAGCTGACACCCTAGGCTTATTATTAACAATAACAATGATTGATTGATAGTTCAATATAGTTTACACAGAGAACAATGATTGATTGATAGTTCAATCTAGTTATTTATGCCTGTTTAAATTAATGTAAATTTAAAAAAAAAACTAGTTTGTATTTGTTACTTAGGATGAATCGAAGCCAGATAAGATGTTCAACACTCATTTGATTATCAACAACGAGGGTGACATAGTGCAAGCGTACAGGAAACTGCATTTATTCGATGTAGAGATACCGGAGAAGAATGTAAGGTTAAAAGAGAGCGACTTCTCACATGCTGGTGGGCATGTTGTCACTCCCGTGGATACACCCGTCGGTAGGATAGGTAAGTTGAGATACTGTTGATCTTAAATTGCATAATCAGTAAGATAAAGATATTAGTATATAATGTTTTGACTTTAAGTACAGTGGAGCCCCGGTAATCCGGCCCCTAGCTAATGCGGCACCCCCTATAATCCGACATCGTCTATTACTTACAAGTATTCGCTAATTCACGATTGAACAAGTTACAACTTGTACGCACCATCACTATTGTGCTCGACGCGTAGGGTATTGTTTTTTTTAGATTTATTTGTAAATTCTATAGCATTAATGACGTTACTTTTATAATAAAACGTAATCTTAGAAAGATTACGTTTTATTATACAAAACGTATTAAACAAAACGTAATCTTAGAAAGATTACGTTTTGTTTAATTTACTAAATTTGACATACATAACAAAGTATGATTTGTAATCTTATCATTGGATCTGTAGTTTGTCGGATTACAAGGTACTCTTTTATAAAAAAAATCGGATTATAGGGGGTCTTAGGCAGTACTCTATAATCCGACAAATTCGATAGTTCGACACTGCCCTGCAAAATGTTTGTCGGACTACCGGGGATCCACTGTAGTTAAATAATATTTTGATTTAAATTGCTTATGTGCAAATCCATCATGCTTATCTTGGGCATCAAGATCCCATCTTTCGCACCATATTGAAAAAAAAGTGTTAAATAATAAAACTTTCAATTTACTCTCATCAAAAGTGTCTAGGGATCATGTACGGAACGCACGCACGTAATTGATGCTAACTTTAGCATTATTGGATCAGGTTTAGTAATTTCAGTTGATTATTATGTAATACGAATCTTATTTGATCCCTATACACTTTGAATCTTTAAAAATATAAGAAGATGAGCAAAAAGAGACTACAGACATAAATAAAGTTTAACATTTCTTCATATACCATTCTACATTGTTTTATTTAAATATAAAATTGGTGTTTTTTTCGTTTTATACAGGCATGGCGATTTGTTACGACATGCGTTTTCCGGAACTTAGTACTGCATTGAGTATAATGGGTGCGGAAGTTTTAACTTACCCATCAGCATTCACACACACTACTGGCGAAGCGCATTGGCATATATTACTCAGGTATTTAAGCAGAGCAATCATTATTTTGAGGAGCTCGATAGCGCATTGGATGTGTAACCAAAAACCTTCTATCTCGTGTTCCTCCTTGCTTCGAAAGGTACGTAAAGCCGTTGGTCCCGGCTGCACCTGCAGTCGTTAGCACCCGCCAATCCGCACTGGGCCCGCGTGGTGGATGACCCAAACCCTATTCCGCCCATAGGGAAGGTCTGTGGTCCAGCAGTGGGGATATTAATAGGCTGATGATGGTGATGAATCATTATTTTAGAATATTGTCATTGATAATAAGTTTAACAATTGCCTTTTGTCAGATAAATGTAAAATGACAAAGAATTTTTTTCAAGCGTAGATATAAAGTATTTTACTCTGACTAGCTAATATTTAAGAACTAAACGGCTTTTAAACACCAAAACTTTGGAAATAAAGTAAAATAAGTTAACAGAAATACTTATTTTAGCTTTGCCAAATGTTAAGTTTATATGGATGACTTTGTATTTAGGGAATTATGTGTTTCTTACTCTCACATACATTTAGTCAAATATAATAGGGATGATGACTATCAAAAAGTCTTGGACACGTATTTTTTCTTTTTTCACATAATATAAACATTGCAGAGATATTTTCATTTGAAAAGTCACATGACGTCACGTTTGAGTACACTTTTAAGTGAAAATTCACTAAAAAGTGACGTCACGAGCCCCTACTCACAAACTTTGACGCGCTATAACTTTGTCTTTTTTTGGTTGACTGTCCAAAGAAAAAATACATGTCCATTTTTTTTTGATCATCTAACTGACGGATTAAATAGAATTTCGTTTACTGTACCCCGTCATCATCCCTATACACAGATGTGCAAAAGAATTCTTAATTTAATTACTTACATGAGCTTCGTCCAATATTATGTATATCCATCAATAAATTGTAACACCGTTGATTAGGATTGATGTTCTTTAGTTGCCAGTTTCAATAATCAGCCGCCAGTAATAGGTCTGGATAATCTGGTTCCACTTCTCAGCAACAGTTGTTATTATATATATTTAAGTTATAACCTTAACGGCAGTGGAAAAGTTTAAGCTCGCTTAAACGCCACTTTAGTAACTTAACAGAAACGAGGATCAAAGTTTTTTTTTCACAAAAAAGAAACAAGTTATTGTAAATGAGAAGTAGCCACATAAAAATAAAAACATTCATAAAATAATATTTTTTAAATATCCTCCTATTAAAAAGTTACATAGTCCTTTACTTTAAGAATTAAATGTCGCTTAAGCCTAACTCACTCGGCCCGCCATACATTTTTGTCAGGCAAACATCAAATCTTTTTCCACATAGTAGGATGTAAGCGTTGGTTCAAGAAACACCAAAATGTCGCTTCTGCTTTGTGAACAACAAAATCACCAAAAATTTGAGTTGCTTAAGCACCAAAAAAGTACTTAAATCTTCACGCATAACTTAAGTCGTGGCACGTAACTCTAGCGCTGAACAAAACTCGAAGGAGATAGCTGCGCATGGGTACGACTGGAGAGACAATGCACCCGCGCACCTCGTTTCTCCACAACACATCTTCATTTTTACTTCTGCGCAATAGCGGTCAGCGCTAGAGTTTCGTGCCGCGACTTATAAAAGCTGGTAATCATATTTGCAAACACACTTGACATTTGCTTGTGTCATTTTTGTGTCCGAGATTAAAAAACAGACTATAATGAAATGAAAAGAAATGAAGTGAAAAGTCATTTATTCAGTCTAGGCTGTTACAAGCACTTGTGAAGGTCAAGAAGCTACGCCATCGGTTCGCAAAACTACGGCGAGAGAACTTGTACTGAGAAGAACCGGCAAGAAACTCAGCAAGGGCTGTTTTTTTTCTCCCTGTATTGTTATATACAGAGTCGTCAAGTTGAAAAATGACTTCAGAGATACGTCTGAAGTCACCTTCCATTACATCATTTAGAATATAAATATATAGTTACAATAAATTTTATAGTTAACATTCTATTTAGTATATAGGAAGCGGCATTAGATATAGGCAATAAAGCTCAGATAGGCATATCTCTAAAAGGAATTTGATTTATTGAAACTGGCCGTAGATGCTTTTAAATGATAAATGATCTATATTAATTCAAATATATGGATGATTTTTTTAGGAGTAGAGCAATAGAAAATCAATGTTATGTGATTGCTGCGGCCCAAGTGGGTCATCATAATAAAAAACGACGGTCGTATGGGCACGCTTTATGCGTTGACCCGTGGGGGGAAGTTCTAGCCGATTGTGGTGAAGCTTCACCCAGTTATAAACTCGCTGAATTGTCTAGTGAAGCATTGAGTAATGTTAGAAGGAATATGCCCGTGTTTCAGCATAGAAGGTAAGTTAGATTTTTATCATTTCAGCATAAAAACATATTGACAAATGTGTATGCGCAGGAAAGAACTTGCTGAAACATATATTTACACATTAAGCATGTTATACCAAGCTGAATTTTAGACGACCTCCGTGGTCGAGTGGTTTGTATGCCGGGTTTCATGGTGTCGCCGACTCGAGAGGTCCCGGGTTCGAGTCCCGGTGGGGGCAGATGTTTGTGTGATGAATACGAGCATTTGTACTCCAGTCATGGATGTTTCATATGTATTTCTATATAAATATACTTATATATGTACTGTATATGTATTCTATCCGTTACCCTAGCATCCCATAACACAAGCCTTCAGTGCTTACTTTGGGGCTAGGCTAATTGGTGTGTTTTAGAAATATTTATTTATTTAATTGAAAAGTTCGATCAATGTGGAAGTTCGGTAGTGTGTATCCGTTTAGCAATTGTGCGTAGAAATTATATTTAAATTAGTGTATGACTGGAGAAGCATTGACGGGGTTTCGCGGGCGGGGGGTCGGGTCGATTTATATTGTTAGCTCATTTCGATTTGCTAGGTTTTCGATATACAGGAAAGATTTCTAATCAAGGAAACTATAGGTCTGTGGTGATACAAAATTCACAATATTTTCACGTTTATGTTCTATGTATGACCGTTTGTTTCTAATAAATAAATAAATAAATCAAGCTTAACAGATTTGGCCTCTTAGTCAAGCTTGACTCTAAATTATTATCTATTTCAGAATTCTGTCTCCAATATCATCATTATTTATGTTTTTTATCCATTACCCTAGTATCCCATTACACAAGCCTTGCAGTGTTTACTTTGAGGCAGGGGCAACATGTACTCATTACACACGTTGATCTACGTAAAGAACTCTTGCAGGCACACACTCAACATTCAGACGCTACGGACGTTTCGTCTCGGACGTACGATAAAATTACTGCTTACTTTCTGTCATATGCGTGACATCTGCTCTTTATACACATTGAATTTACATAAGTCCTCGTGTCTGCAAACACTAAACATTCGGACGTTTCTTCTCGGATGTATTAAGTTAATAAATGATTACTTCTTGTCTTTGATGGCCTCCGTGGCCGAGTGGTTTACACCGGGTTTCAAAGTGTCTGCCTATTCGAGAGGTCCCGGGATGTTTAATATATATTTCTATATAAATATACTTATATATGTATCAGTATAAATGTATTCTATCCGTTACCCTAGTATCCCATAACACAAGCCTATAGTACTTGCTTTGGGGCTAGGCTAATTGGTGTGAGTGTTGGAAATATTTATTATTATTATATCTTAGGCGCGAAATCTACTAGAGCCATTAAATGCGGCCACTAAACGCGACCATTAGTGGGTCATTCAAGCCACTAGACGCACGCACACTTAACATTCGGACGTTTCTTCTCAGACGCACTATGTTATTAAATGATTACCTTGCTTCTTGTCCTAGGCGCGACATCTACTCATTATACACGTTAAATCTACGTAAAGACTTCTTGCTTGCACACATTTAACATTCGGATGTTTCTTCTCGGACGCACTATGTTATTAAATGATTACCTTGCTTCTTGTCCTAGACGCCACATCTACTGATTATACACTTTGAATCTACGTAAAGACTTCTTGCTTGCACACACTTAACATTCGGATGTTTGTTCTCGGACGCACTAACTAAGTTATTAAATGATTATCTTGCTTCTTGTCCTAGGCGCGTCATCTACTCATTACACACGTTGAAATTACATAAAGACCTCTCGCCTGTTAAACGCGACCACTAGTGGCTCATTCAAGCCACTAGACGTAGCCACCAATCGAATCGAGAGAAATTGAGTGGCCGCCACTAAGTTACTAGAAGTCGCGTTTAGTGGCTGCGAATAGTGGCTCAATGTGCACTTGCTCTTAAACACGTTGAATTCACACTCTTACGTAAAGACCTCTTGCTTGCACACACTTAACATGTGGACGTTTATTCTCGGACGCACTATGTTATTAAACGATAACTTTACTTATTGCCGTAGGCGGCAAATCTACTCATTATACACTTTTAATCTCCGTAAACACCTCTCGCCTGCATACACTTAACATTCGGACGCTACGGACATTTTGTCTCGCACGTACGATATAATGAGGGTTTTTTTGGAATGACGGGCACCAGGTGGCAGCACTGTGACGAAAGGTCTACTCATAAGTCAAATCGCATATGTCTTCATAGTTTAAGGATCAATTTAAATGCTCGTTTTATTGGTTCGCGCCAAAAACTTCATAAGAAAGACCTTTCGTCACAGTGGCGCCAACTGGTGACGTAAAATTTTAATAAACACTCATTAATTAAGTTTTAATTTTTTAAACATTTAACTGATAAATGTTTAAATACAAAGAAAAGTTTACTAGAAAAAAAAAGAAGAAGAAGTTGCCTATAATGCGAAGAGATGGCGCTGCCTTGTAGCTTAGGGCTAGGAAAAATTCGACTTTGCCGTCAGGGCCGCGGTAGCATAATGGTCAGTGCATTCGCCCGGATAGCGAAGGGTGCGGGTTAGAGTCCTGTCTGCTGCCTGGTCCGTGTGGATTTTTTTCTAGTAAACTTTTCTTTAGATTTAAACTCCCATTAATGCTTACTTTTTGTCCCAGACGCGATATCTACTCCTTATACACGTTGAATTTACGAAAAGACCTCTTGCCTGCACACACTCAACATTCGGACGTTACGGACGTTTCATCTCGGACGTACGACGGACCCTCACACGTCTTCGGACAAGTCCGAATACCGGAGACGTGTGTGTTCTATAAAACGAATTTGAGCTACGCCTTCGTGAATTTGAGGTGAGTAAGGAATTTGGAGGAATGAGGAGCTCGATGGCGCAAGTGGTTAGCGCGTTCGGTTGCGATTGTTGAATTTAAGCAACTTTCGCAGTGGTCGGTCATTGGATGGGTGACCAAAAATCTTCTATCTCGAGTTCCACCGTGCTTCGGAAGGCACATTAAGCTGTTGGTCCCGGTTGCATCTGCAGTCGTTAGCACCCGCCAATCCGCATTGGGCCCGCGTGGTGGGTCATGGCCCAATCTCCCTATTCCATTCCATTCCATTCCAGGGCTGATGATGATGATGATGATGAAGGAATTTCTAGAATATGTGTCCTTTTGATAGATTTTGATTACATTTACTATGATCATAGTAGCAAAGATTGTTTTTGTAGACCACTTTCAAAGTTTTACTAGCTTCAATGGATCTCATATTGGTCCATTTCTACCATCTATCTATTCTACTATGAATTTGCGCTATACCCAAGACCTACTGGTCCGGATTGAAAAACTCTCAACGTCGTTGTGAACAATATAAAATCGTGAAAAAATTGAGTAGATTAAGCGCCAAAAAAGTTCTCAAATCTTCACGAAACATAAACAGATAGACGTAAAGAAAAACTGATTTAAACGATATATACGATACGATTTCGCCTTTCCAAGGTCGCTATAATTTAATGAATACAACTGAATTTAAATAAAACTAGTTTTTACGGGTTAATGCACGAAACTTTATTTATTTATTGACGTTTTTAGCCTTTACAGGCTACGTCGTCAGAATCAAACTTTTATTTAATTTGTCGAGCTACCTTCGAAAAATTCGATCGGTCAATAAATAAATAAAGTTTCGTGCATTAACCCGTAAAAACTAGTTTTATTTAATGAGTGATGTGCGAGAAAACCTAAGAAACAAATACAACTGAATTTGTTAAAGGTGTGTCATTCCGGGCCATGTGTTGGTTGCACCGACAAGGTCGGCCGAAAGGAATCAGGATTTGACTGAAGAAGAGGCAGATGACTTCTACAGGACCATAAGATTGGTGCAGAAGGTACTCAATACTTGAATGTTTTATTGTAATAAATAAGATGATAAAAAAATATTTTAGGCACAATTATAGATCGAGTCGGGCAGAACAGTCAATTGCAGAGGGTGACTGACACCTATGATTAGATAAAAACGCTAATTATTTTTAAATACTTAACTAATAAAGGACATTGTTCAGCGTCCATACATAGTTAGCCTAAGAACCAACAATCATGAAATGTTATTGTCTAGCTTCAAAATCGTAAGTAAATGACTGTAAAAACAAAGATTATTGACGGACACTTCTGAAAACTTAAATTATTAGGAAAAATAAAATTTTTTTGAGGTTATGTTTAATATTCAATGAAACATAGGTCAACCTATGAATTTAGTATAAACTCAGTATGAAGTGAATTAATATTACAACTAATTCATTTTACTCGGTGCGATTTTAAAGAATAACTATTAGAAAAAACTTGGTTAGGTACCAGGAATCATGAATAAAATAAAAACTGTAGTTATGCTTCTTATTTATTGACTATTTTCCACATAATTGTATCATATTGTTTATTGTATTTATTTGTATATCACATGTAGGTATATTGTGTAAATATGTAGCGTGAATGTGTATCAGGTGTTCTTGAATAATTTGGCAGTATGATCCTCTCAGGATGTTGTGGCACAGGTTCACTAGCACTTGGTAATAAGGGCTCTGCTCTTTGGTAACATCGATGGCATATTAGATATCCGAAATAGTTAAATTAAAGGAAAAACAATCGCAAATAAACACACACTACTCTTTGGAATGCACGAATGCCACAGATTACTAAGAATGCAAACTGCATGCACCACAACCACAGAGTAACGAGTTTTATGCCGGCCCTTCTCTTGACAACAGTTTGTCCTTGTCATGCAAGGTAGTTTTCCAATTACAGCTCAAGAGCGCATTATGCGGCATAATGCTTATCGTTGAATGTTTCAACTACAGCAACGCTTCGCACAATCGAGCACTCTCAAAAGTAATGTTTTCGTGTAATTCGTGCAATCGTACCAACTCAGTGACAGAAAATTAAATTAACAAGTATTTTTTCTTTAAGTTGGCATTGATCGAAATGTTTTATTTATAAATTATCGTTAGTAATATTATTTATGTTGAAAAATTTTGAAAGCTTTCGTTTCATTGTAGTTTTTTTTAATAATCAAAGTTAATTCAAACTGTGTTTAAAAAAAATATAAGTATGGATAAAGGTACAAACATTGACTTTATTTTCAACACTGAACTTAGCGCACAAAACTAGTTCACGTTCCAATTAAGCATCAGCATAATTTGGCATTCAGCGCCACTGTGTCGCATTATGCTCTGTAATTGGAAAACTACCTTAATAAGGAATGAAAAGAACAGACTGATGTCATGTTTTAAAATAGCAAATACGAATAGCCAAGTGAAGTGCCGGCATTAGGAAGAAAGAGCGTTTTGTTTGCAGCGCTGCCATAGATTATACACATAAAATGGTATTTATTGTCTCAGATTATTTTGAACTTTTTAATTTAGCTTACTTAACTGGAAGTGTCCGTCACAATCTAAATACTGATAATTATCGCAAAAAATATACTAAGAATTATCATAAATGCCAAATTGGTGTTGGTTCTTAAGCCAATTTTAACATTGTCCTTTCAGAATTACTATTATACTTATTTACATTAAATTAAAATAGGTATTTATTTATTTGGTACAATCTAACTTGTGTAATTACAAGCGACCATTCACTGTTTATTGGGTTACTTATTAGTAAGATGGTTTGTTATGTAATAGGGTATTTGACAAGTTTTAAAAAACGATCTCACGTTATTAACTAATGTTTATAGAGTCCATAAAAAGTGGATATTCATCATTATGTTGTGTATTTCGGTAAAAATACCAAATCAAAAACTCTATTTTCAAGTTGCCGCGAAAAACGTATCTCTGGACAATATGGCGTCTCACTGGTGTGTCACACGACTGTCATTAAACGTCAAACCATACAATCAAATGTCACTTTAACCGGAAGTTTACTTGCGTGTGACGTGATTTTGGGCTCTACCAATCCCAAGCGTTTTGGGTCACGTGACAATAGACAAGAAAACTATTATCTTTTTCGTGGGTTTTTAGTAAAATTATTAATATTTTTTCTGTAAAAATAGTAAAAACTCCTGCCAATATTCATTCTAAATACAGATGCTAACAATTGGCACTTTTTTAATACTGTCAAATACCCTATTATATCAATATAATATATCTAAAACCATATACAGCGTGTTGCTATCTCTGTCTCTCTCTTCGCCCGATCGTATAATTTGCCAGTTCATGAAATTCTTAGGCCTGTCACGAAAAGCAGCCATTTCGTTTTTGGTTTGTCGCGGCTAATCGCTTTGATCACTCGGCTTGAATTCACCATGATCACAACACATAACTTAACCTTTATTAACATTTAAACCGACTTCCATAAAATAAAATAATAAAATCTACTAAATATTATGAATATTGTAGTTAATGGAGAAAGTACACAACACCAAATCGTGTACAGTGACAATACAAGACGGTCCCGACGCCGGGCAGACTATAAAGGTAAGTACTATATGTATTTAACATATACATACACTAGTGAGAGCCCGCGATTTCGCCTGCGTGGAATTAGTGGTTTACCATACATACTTTCCCCCCTTTTCCCCCCAGAAAAGATGATTTCTGAGTTAAAAACTATCCTATGTCCTTTCTTGGTACTCAAACTATATATAGCAAACCTAAATATATAAAACTCAAAGGTGACTGACTGACTGACATAGTGATCTATCAATGCACAGCCCAAAATCATAGATGAATGTCATTGTGTATAATACAAGCCTGAGAACAAAAACTGTAGTCTACACTTCAGCTCTACACCGAAGCGGAGCGAGGGCGGGACGCTAGTACTATATGTATTTAACAAAAACATACACGAGTGAGAACCCGCGACTTCGCCTGCGTGGAATTAGTAGTTTACCATACAAACTTTCCCCCCTTTTACCCCCAGAAAAGATGATTTCTGATATAAAAACTATCCTATGTCCTTTCTTGGCACTCAAACTATATGTATAGCAAATTTAATCTAAATCGGATCAGCGGTTTACATGTGAAGAGATAACAGACAGAAACACTTTCGCATTTATAATATTGAATGGCTGATTTCTTCTGTCGATGTTTATGCTTAGATTAAAACAAAAAGGGAAGATACGGTACGCTCATACTAGCATCAAACAAAATATGATCCGACTCAACTACATTAGCAACTCTCACGCACGCACACGTCTGAAAATAAACGTTCAATCGAGCGAAGGAGACAGAACTGTACTCCTAGCACGAACCAAAATCGAATTCGTAACGTTTGCGAGTCCGAAATGTCATTGTCAAATGTGTACTAATTTTTTAGTTCCCGTTACGTCCAAAGTGGCGCTGCTGTTCAAGTTTCCATACAAAATTTTACATTGACATTTCGGTTTGCAAACTATTCGAATTCGATAATGGTTCGTGCTAGGGGTACTGTACGTTTCAACGCAGCGCGAGCGAAACTGGGAGTCCGAGTCCGAGTCCGTACGGCTGAGCTGTATTGTTGTCCTTTTCTTGATGACAAAATGGCGATTACGTAAATAACATTCACGACAAACCGTCAGTTTTACGAATGAAAAGTGTTGCCGAGGCATTTGTTATTTGATTTTGAACTATTTGTGTTCTTTGTAAAAGTTCAATGCTTTTACAAAGAACACCACAGCATTGTTTTATCTTTATAACACTGAATTAGAGGTGTCCACTCTGAAAAAAACATCGATGTATTTTTTGATTCGTTACATCGCAACTATACATCGATTACTTTCGATGTTTCGGATGAAAACATCGATGTTTGTTTCACAAAACCAAAGTTTATAAACATAGAAACTAGTAGTTATTTTTTATTGTCACTGCACTGACTCTTCTCAGTGCTGCCAACATCGCGTCCATACCAGAGAATTCGGAATAATGATTTATTTATTTATTTATTTATTTAATCTTTATTGCCTTTACAATGCAAATGGCGGACTTAATGCCAGTATGGCATTCTCTACCAGTCAACCGGAAAGAAGGTGCAGAGAAAATAAAACGGCAGACAACGAACAGAGAAAACATTAAAAAGCATTAATCACTTATACATACATACATAAATATACATTCTAGCAACATATATAATAGGTACACACAAATATATACATACATAAATACATATCTAATAATAATATACAGTGTCTGATTATAGTATCCTAATTTAAATTCAAGCATTTTGCGATAAATTTAAATAATGTTTCCGCGCCAAAGCCCTAAACGCATTCCTGTTTGGGGCATTACGCACGTGTAAAGGAAGTGCATTCCAGAGCCGGATGGCAGAAAGGGTGTACGAGCTGGAGACAAACCCAGTATGGTGAATGGGTACTTCAAGTATTAAATTATCATTGGAACGGAGATTTAATTCATGGGAAGACCCCAGGAACTGAAACCGAGATTTCAGATATCCAGGGGTGCGTGGATCGTATAGTAAATTGAAAAGGGTAAGAACTGTCCTTAAGCACCTACGCTCCCGAATAGGTAGCCACTTAAGTCTATTGCGGAACTCTGAAATGTGGTCGTATTTACGTAAACCAAAGACGAAACGAATAGTGTTATTGAGAAGACGATCCAATTTAGTAAGAAATAGTTGATTTATATCAGTAAAACAAACATCAGCATAATCAAAGAGAGGGTGAACAAGGGATTGTACAAGAGAGATTTTAGTACACGGAGGGAGAAAATTCTTGAGGCGATAAAGCGAACCAAGTGTTCCATTTACCTTGCGACATATGTTCTCTATTTGGCCATCCCAACTAAGTGTGTTATCAATTACGAGGCCAAGATTTTTTACTTTCGTAGAATAGGGGATCACTACATCGTTGAACTTAATGGCTGGAACTGTGTTCAAATGAAGCCGTGAAATTTGTCGAGAACTGCCAATAATGATCGCCTGACATTTGACGGGGTTGATGGTAATCCCAAAGTTATGAGACCACTCACGTATACGAGAGAGGTTTTGGTTGAGTAAACAGACTGCCCTCTCCAGGTTTGGTAGGGTGTCTTGCGTATACAGCTGAAGGTCGTCTGCATAAAGATGATAAGAGGTAGAAAGAACGGAAGTAAGGGAGTTAATAAATAAGGAGAAAAAGAGAGGAGAGATCACGCCTCCCTGAGGTACCCCAGCAGATAAGTCGGACCAGTCAGAGATCGATTGATCAATTCTAACGGCTTGTTGCCGCCCCCGGAGATAGGAACCGAACCAGTTCAGCGCATTGGAGGAACACCCAAGTTGAGCAAGAAGCGCAAGAAGGATATCGTGATCAACTGCATTAAATGCGTTTGAAAAATCCAGTAGTACTAAAACAGTCAACCGCGACTCCTCCATGCCATCGCGTATGTCCTCAACAATTTTCATAAGCGCCGTAGTGGTACTATGCCCAGGGCGGAACCCAGATTGGAAGTTAGATAGAAGGCAGTTGCGATAAACGTATGAAGAAAGTTGATTATAAACTGCAGCTTCGAGAATTTTAGAAAGGTAAGGTAAAATGGAGATAGATCTAAAATGATCGAGAGAGCTAGGGTTTGAAATTTTAGGGAGAGGAATGGAAAATGCCTTACGCCAAACAGTAGGAAATGAACCAGAAGACAGGGATTTGTTCATGATGAAAGTTAACGTAGGAAGTAGAGAGTCCAATAACAATATAAACATGTTTCTATTGATATTATCGAATCCTATAGCCTTAGACTTAATGGACAGTGCTAACTTTCGGACATCATGTTCGGTCAGTGGGCTAAAGGAGAAAATGAAATTAGAAGGAGTGGCCGTGGAAGAAAGTTTGGAAATCGTAAGAAATTTAACAGTGTCAGAAAGTTTGTTCTCGCGCGAAAAATGACGATTAAAATCGTTTAAAGAAAAAGGAGATAAAAATCGAGTTCGTGTTTTGCCAATACCAATTGAATTAAGGAACTTCCACATTTCGGCTGGAGAGGAATTAGTAACATTCTGATGAATATAATGACGTTTCGCACCTCTTATCATCTGGTTGCACCGATTTCTTGCTCTCTTGAAAGCCTCCCAGTTGACATCAGAGCGGCATCGTTTAAAAATACGAAAGGCCTTATTACGTCTTCTCATGGCTATGCGCACCAAAGGAGTGATCCAGGGAGCAGGTGGTCGTCGTAGCTTGACAGATTTAACGGGAGCATGATGATCAAATAATTTTATTATTGCTGCATTAAAGGTGGTGATCATATCATTAACAGATGCCTCGCCATACAGAGGCGACCAATCAATGGCATTCGCTTCAATTACAAGCTTCTCAACGTTCAGCTTCGCGAAATTTCTCATACGTATCATAGTCGGCTTAGCTTTAGGGGGTTTTACTTTGAGCGCCAAAAAAATCAGATCATGTTTTGAAAACCCAGGCGCTGACAGCTGACCATGTTTCGTGACCAGGTCTGGAGAGGAAGTTACGATATGGTCGATCCATGAGTCGTCAGTAACGATATTATGATGAGTCGGACCAAGAGGTAAAATAGTGAAAATCGCAGACTCAAATATTGATCGGAAGATACGTGAGGAATGAGTATCTTTTAAAAGATCCGTGTTAAAGTCACCCATGATTATGTGATGTCTGTAATCTGAGGAGATGTCGTCAATAAGAGTCTCAAGCTCTGTTAAGAAAGGAACAGAAGGGGGGCAGTAAATAACACCTAGAAGTACTTTAGTATGTTTGACATCAATTTCTAGAAATAAGTATTCCATGCAATCGAAGCGGGAAGAAGAGGAAGTTAAAATCTTATAAGGCATAGACTGAGTTAAATAAATGGCAACTCCCCCGCCACCTTTACCAATTCTGTCATTTCGAATGAGCGTGAAACCTGGTACGTCAACAGATGCTGAACTCAAACAGGGCTTCAGCCAGCTTTCTGAAATCAGAACGGCATGGACAACTGAATTAGACTTAAAAGTGTTCAAAAGTTCGGTGTAATGACAAGGAACACTCTGTGCGTTGATGTGGCAGACATTCAAAGTTACGGTGCCACTGAATTCTTTAGCCACGAGTGCGCCCAAATCATCAGGATCATCGGACGACCGGTCGCTAAGGGAACAAAAAGACGAGGTACCATCCTCTGCTGAACCATATTCACTACTATCAGACATATTATAATAAGTTCACGAAACAAAATAATATATTAAATAAATACAATTAAAAAATATGTATATATATATATCTATGAATAAATAATAAAAAATATATCAAGATATATAAATTGATTGAATAAACTGCTATTTTTAAGACCTGCATTTCCTGCCGATTGATGGTTTACAGTAGTGTGACACGTTAAAAACAAAACTGATTAAGAAATATATAAACCTAAACATACACTCGAACACAATATTTTTAATTAATTAAACACACTAGAAAAACTGTGGTCTTTCTTACAGACAACAGCAGTGTGCGCAGCTTCACTACCACCCTTACATCATGACCACACTACACTTCATTAATTCTGAAAGAACTTAAAACATGGCAGTATAGTATAAGGTCTTTGCGTACTTAATATAGCAAATAATTACTTGAGCCACGTTCAAAACCCACGCTCCAGATGCTTTAAATGTTAATATGTGAAATAAGGTTCGAAGTTATAAAATTAAAACGTTCGGCAGGGTAAAAAAAAAAAATGCGCTTGGAACGTAGGTTCGGAACGCACCCTGAGATGACATGCATGACATTCACATGTGTCATTGTCACTGTTAGTGTCAGTGCCAATCAACATAACAAATCAAATACAAATAAAGATTACCTTACAATGTGTGATGGATAAAAATTAAGTAAGTTAATCTAGCAGTGATAGCGAAGCTACCCACTAAACAAGCAATTCAGCTAATGATACAATGCAAGAGCAACGAGTATAATAAAAGAAGGGAATTCGAACAGTAACAACAAAAGAAAATAATTGGACAACACAGTAGATGGAAACCACATACCAAAACTCACTTTTTGACAATTTTTACAATACGCTTAGGCCGAGTATGCGTCTGCACAGGCTGGGATATCGCTGGCTCCACGGCGGGCTCACTGGTCACCGCAACATCCGCAATCTCAGTACAGGGAAACTGGTTCATTGCAGCAGTCAGTTCATCAGTGCAGGAGATCCGTAGACGGTTGCCTTTCGGCGTCTTAATGTAAACGCTGCCATCCATTGACCACACACTGGAGACTCCGAAGTGATTTCGCGCAGAGTGGAACAGGGATTGTCGATTCTTAGTAAGAAATTCTCTCAAAACAAGTGAAGAGCCTTTGAGCTTGCTCTTGCTTTTCCACACAGTGGACCGAAGGGCATAGTTGGTAAAACGAATCACCACAGGCCTGTTACGGCCCTCAGTTACAGACCCGAGCCGATGACAAAGTTTTATAGCACTTGTTTCAAGGTGCGTGATACCAAGGTGTTTTTGGAGCAAAGTTATAACTGTTGAGTTCAAGTCCTCTTCAGAGTTTTCTGGAACACCACAAAGAAGAAGATGTTTGCTTCGATGCCTTGCTTCGTGCTGGTCGAGAGATTTTAAAATGTCACTAATCTGTTGCCTAAGAAGTGACAAGATACTCCAGACGAGTTCCTTGAACGCCTTAAACTCATCCTGTATCTGAGGGACCTTTACCTTATCTGAAGACTTCAGTTGGGCTTCAAACTGCTGCATTCTTTGCATCAAGGTGGTCTCCAGTGACTTCTGGGTTTCAAGTACAGCCGCAACACTGCTCATAGTGAAGTGTAGTGTGATTTGATATTTGAGCAAATAACTGTGAGTGACGTGGTGGCAGGTTAATGCAGGTCAGTTCCTCAAAATGACATCACACAGTGCTGCCTACAATGTATGAGGTGACTAAGGGTAAATACTAAGTAATTAAAATGGAATTTATGAAAAACACTATGTTTTAGTATTTTTAAAATAAATTAACTTAAAGAAGCAATGTAGATTTATTTCACGCCTACCGCCCCCCCGCCGCGCCTAATGATGCTTTCATAATAGTAATAAGTAAAATTTTAGTGGTCAAACTTAAGTTTTTTTTACTGAGGTCAAACCAAAGAGGATATTATCACTACGTGGTCAAACTCTATTACCAATTCGATGTTTTTTTAAAACATCGATGCATAGAGTATATTGAAAGCTTTTCAAAACATCGGATCGATTCGATGTTTTTCATTGCAAACATCGATGTTTTCGATGCATCGAGGTATATCGAATATCCCTACACAGAATATAATGAATATACATGCAGCGTGTTTGAATGTCCAATTGTGACTAAAGCGAATTGTGTTCATGCACCACAATTTAAGCGGATCACTTTTGAGCCGGGAGTGCTGTATCTTCCCTTTTTGTTTTAATCTAAGTGTGTATGTGATTGGAATCCTCCTAGACGGCTGGACCGATTTTAATGAAAATTTTAATTGCATTTGAGTAGTTAACTATCTAATTTAGATTCACAACAGGTACAGATCCGGTAGGTGGAGCTACAGTCGATTTCAATGATTTTAACTTACTCTTCTCAAAAGGCTGGACCGATTTGGATGTAATTTTTTGTGTGCATACTAGTGGTTCAGATTCACAACGGGACTGTTAAAGTCTATTTTGAGAATGACTGGTTTTAAATTTTAATATATTTTTCCTTATAGCATCTACACTGCCACATAATGCCGCGGAAGAAAGGCGACTTCATAGAAAATGATCATATATACTTGGAATTGGCTAAAAACGATCAGTAAGTGTTTCAAATAGCTCAATCAATGCCCCCACTGCTGGGGCACAGGCCTTCCATATGGATGGAATAGGGAGATTGGGCCATGATCCACCACGCGGGCTCAATGCGGATTGGCGCGTGCTAACGACTGCAGATTCAGTCGAGACCAGCGGCTTAACGTGCCTTCCGAAGCACGGAGGAACTCGTGATAGAAGATTTTCGGTCACCCATCCATTGACCGACCACTGCGAAAGTTGCTTAACTTTAACGATCGCAACAGCAGAACGCGTCAACTACCAGCGCCATCGCTTTTATCTGTCGCAACCACGTTTACATTCATTGGGTTCACACGATACAGGACTTACTATTGTGGGACCCATGTATATAAAAATCAGTGCACATCTGACTAATATCCGAGGAGCTCGATGGCGCGGGTGGTTAGCGCGTTCGGCTGCAATAGTTGAAGCTAAGCAACTTTCGCAGTGGTCGGTCATTGGATGGGTGACCAAAAATCTTCTATCTCGAGTTCCTCCGTGCTTCGGAAGGCACGTTAAGCCGTTGTTTCCGGCTGCATCTGCAGCCGTTAGCACCCGCCAATCCGCACTGGGCTCGCGTGGCGGGTCATGGCCCAATCTCCCTATTCCATCCATAGGGAAGGCCTGTGCCCCAGCAGTGGGGACATTAATAGGCTGATGATGATGAGGACACATCTGGCTTTTATCTAGATCCAATTCAACTATTCGAATTCGATAATAGTCGTGCTAAGTGTAGAAGTGACTTCCCCCAACAACTCTCCAGATATTCCTGGATTAATGGATAAAACTCCTTCCCCTTTTAGGTTAAAGTCCGGTCACCCATCCAAACCAGCCAGGACCAAAGAAGAGATGGACAACGAAGCTAAATTTCTGAGAAATGAAATGCGCATTATGCTACAAAGTGAAAAGGATCTTAATAGATAAAACTTTGAGTGCATTTTTGTATATATAAAACGGCACTGAATAGGGTATTTGACAAGTTTTAGAAAACGATCTCACGTTATTGACTAATGTTTGTGGAGTCCGTCAAAAGTGGATATTCATCATTCTGTTGTGTATTTCAGTAAAAATAATCAAATCAAAAACTCCATTTACAAGTTGCCGCGAAGACGTTTTTCTGGACAATATGGCGTCTTACTAGTGTGTGACGTACACGACTATAATTAGAACGCCAAACTATACAATGTAATGTCACTTTAACCGGAAGTTTACTTGTGTGTGACGTCATTTTAGGCTCCGCCAATCCCTAGCGTTTTGGGTCACGTGACAATTACATAAGAAAACTATTATCTTTTTCGTGGGTTTTTAGTAAAATTATGAATATTTTTGTTGTAAAAATAGTAAAAACCCCTGCCAATATTCTAGATGCTAACAATTGGCACTTTATGTTTAATACGGTCAAATACCCTATTACTGGACCAGCATTAATGTTCAGTGTTCAGCACACAGAGAAATCAATTATTCTAGTTATTTAACTAATAGATGTTTAAATAGAAGGACAATTTTCCTAGAAATAATTCAGACGGGACACAAGCCTAAGAAATACTAGAAGAAATTCGACACGGCTATTGATGACGCGGTCAGTGCATCCACCCGGATAGCGGAGGGTGCGGGTTCGAGTCCCGTCAGCTGCCTGGACCGCGTGGATTTTTTTCTGGTAAAATCTTCAGATTTAAACATCTAGCGAACTTCGTACCGCCATAAAAAATAGGGGTTGGTGGTAGAATGGTGAAAATTTAGGTTTGTATGTATTTTTGTATGATGTATCATAAAAAAATAAAAACAAAAAAGAAACGTCGAAAAAAAAGAAAATTGAAGGGTGGACCACCCTTAACATTTAGGTGGATGAAAAATAGATGTTGTCCGATTCTCAAACCAACTGAATATGCATATAAAATTTCACGAAAATCGGTCGAGCCGTTTCGGAATAGTTCAATTACGCACACCGTGACACGAGAATTTCATATATTAGATGTTGATGCATTTTTGAAAGTTCTAAGTTTTCCGTTTGTTTTGGTTTTGCCTGTAAAGTTTGTAGGTAATTTACGTCGCTAGGTGTATTTTGACGACCTCCGTGGTTCGTGGTTCGAGTGGTTTGTACGCCGGATTTTATGGTGTCACCGACTCGAGAGGTCCCGGGTTCGAATCCCGGTGGGGGCAAATGTTTGTGTGATGAATACGAGTATTTGTACTCCAATCATGGATGTATAATATGTATTTCTATATAAACATACTTATATGTGTAACATTATAATGTATTATATCCGTTGCCCTAGTATCCCATAACACAAGCCTACAGTGCTTACTCTGGGGCTAGGCTCATTGGTGTGAGTGTTGGTTTATTTTGATTGTAATATAGATTAATTTTAAGAATTTTCATTGTCAATATTTATTTTATTGAATGGGCAACACAGTAGGGGGACTGTGTTACAAGGTGCACAGTGTAACATAAGGAATATCTGTGCTGTCTTCTTATCTCCCTATAGCCCGTCTTGACGTGGTTGTATTCATTTGTTTTTTTTATTCTTCATGCACAAATGTACAATGGCGGACTTTAATGCCGTAGTCATTCTCTACCAGTCAACCATAGGGTGTTGCGGAGATTATTAGTGGTACGTGCTACGTGTTGCAAAACTGAGGTGGAAATCACATTGAAAGAAAAAATAACAGTAGTAATAAATATAAATAATAATATTATGTACATACACATACATAAGTTAATTTATTTAAATAAATACACATAAATACATACATGGAGGAGTAGGAGCTTGATGGCGCAGGTGGCTAGCGCGTTCGGCTGCGATCGTTGAAGTTAAGCAACTTTCGCAGTGGTCGGTCATTGGATGGGTGACCAAAAAATTTACTATCTCGAGCTCCTCGGTGCTTCGGAAGGCACGTTAAGCCGTTGGTCTCGGCGGCATTTGCAGTCGTTAACACCCACCAATACGCACTGGGCCCGCGTGGTTGGTCATGGCCCAATCTCCCTATTCCATCCATAGGGAAGGCCTGTGCCCCAGTAGTGGGGACATTAATAGGCTGATGATGATGAAATACATACATACTTCCGCTTTTCCATTTCTTAAGCCGCCATCTTAAGCAGCTATCGTCCGACGTCAAATGACCGGGTATAATACGGAGATATTTCTTTTGTAACACTGTGCCCCTTATAACAAACACTGACCCTACATTTTGTTGTATAACATCTTTTGGCGCATCTAAAACCGATTTCTGGCGTGGCGACGCTCGCCCGTAAAATGCAATATATACCAGTGCTCAACTACTCGCCGGTCAGTACGGCGCCAGCGCCCTTAGAGGAAGAATCTATGTAATTTTTTACCCCACGCATCCCGAGCAATTCTCCGAGTGAATTTATCGGAAACCGGCTAGTGTTTCACATCTCCCAGGCTTCTCGTGACGGCTTACATTTTTTTGAAGTGAAAACTTCTTTAGCGGCGTTCTACACTTTTTTTCGTATGGGTAAAAAATGTTAAACTCGCGTCAGGTTAAACACGTGGGCTGATCGCATCATGTCATCATCACACACAATAACATTAGAAAGGTTGTTGACTTTCAATATATTGGACGAAACAGTCATATTTTATTTTACCGTATTATAATAGTAATAAGTCTCTATCTAGGACGTCCATGTGGCAGCTTTATTACGAAGAAAATGCATTTTTTTTACAATAGATGTCGCTGGGTGCGCTTAAATGTGATTCATGTAACTTGTTTTTTCTGAGAGATAAACTTTTTAATGTAATATGAATTGTCAAGTTTGTGTACGATAGCGCAATAAATAAATATTTTATTCTACCACATACATTATAGTACTTTTATACTGATAATTAAAGCAATTCTTGCAAAATTATTCCCTAACCATTCCAAAATATCAAAAATGCACAACGTTAATATTCAAGTTTTCACTTCTACCGGCACTCCCGGAGTGCAACCCGTCGGTTTTTTTTATTATTTAAGTATTAATCGGCTAGATTTCATATGTCTACATATTGATATTTAAAGTAGCCTCACGTAAAGAAAACTGTTTAAAACATTATCTATTCTAATCTACAGGCGTAGAATTTGACTATCTATTGAAACATTAAGGTGATATTGACTTCATCTTGATGAAAAGAAATAATAAAAGTTTGTACATTATGAGTACATGCAATTTTCGTTCCAAGTAGTCAACTGATTCGGATTTACAAAAATATATGTTGGTTGTGATTGTGAATAAAGTTAGTTGGCAGAAATACGTGTTTTCATCTCTTATATTTAATTGCCTGTAGCGATAATACGAGTTCCTTTTTGGCCGTAAGCTCGAACGTGATTTGCATGAGTTTGCATTTTCCATAACTAAGTAAATTGCATTAAAAAGGGCGATCATTTGGTAAACGTCATGCAAAGATTAGCTCCTATAGCACCTTCTACCAAATACACATTAAACCGTTTGATTGAAATACGCAAATTGAGGCGTTAAGCCGTTGGACCCGGCTGCCTCTGCAGTCGTTAGCACCCACCAATTGGCACTGGGGGTGATGGGTCATGAATTAATCTTCCCATTCCATCCATAGGGAAGGCCTGTGCCTTACAGTGGGGACATTAATAGGCTGATGATGAATTTATTCATCGATATAAAAAAAAATCTTTTTGTTTCCTCCCAAACGGTGGAGCGGGTGTGAAATACTCGTGGACTCTACAGCCGGCTCTATACTAGGGTTATGACAGACTCTTACTGCTGATGATGATAAATACTACTGCATAGTTCGCTTAGGCTGGCCTAAGCGAACTATGCAGTAGTATTTACCATCATCAATAGTATTTATCAGTCCTTTCAGGATGGGGGGGGGGGGGGGGCAAAATCATAAAAAATAAAGTTAGGCTTTAGCTCAAGAAATCCTTTTTTGCCACACGGGAGTGATTACGAAACATCAGAATTAAAATCTTACTAGTTGGTGTCGTCTGCATGGAAAAAATTGGTTTCACATTGTAACAGAGAAATTTGAGAAATAGGTATTTAAAGAAACTTTTGAAAAAACTTTGAAGTAGGCACGATGCTATTGCTATTTTTTGTGACTTATCAAAGGCGTTTGACTGTGTTAGTCATGAAACATTGTTAAATAAAATGAAGCATTATGGTGTATCAAATATTTCACTTAGTCTGATACAGTCTTATCTTTCGGCTAGCATTCAGAAAGTAGTTTTAAATGAAGATGAGTTTACAGGAGCACCCATTTCTATGGGCGTGCCCCAGGGTTCAATATTGGGCCCATTGCTTTTCCTCATTTATATCAATGACTTTCCTCACTTTACAAGAGAATTATTGTGTGAGACAGTACTATTTGCTGATAACACCTCTTTAGTGTTTAAAGCTAGAAGAGGAAATGATTGTTATGACGAAGTAAATTGTGCTCTCTCTGAAGTCCTTTATTGATTTACGGTAAATAATTTAAAACTAAACTCCAGTAAAACTAAATGTGTTAAGTTTACTCTTCTTAATGTGAGACAGGTTAATACTAGTATAAAAATAAATGACCAGCCTGTAGAATTTGTGGATTCTACAAAGTTTCTGGCTATTACTTTAGACTCGCATCTGCAATGGAATCCTCATATTGATGCCTTATCAAGTAGACTAAGCTCTGCAGCTTTCGCTGTTAAAAAAATAAGACTTAACTGATGTGGAAACGGCAAGATTGGTTTACTTTGGTTACTTTCATAACGTTATGTCATATGGCCTTTTGTTGTGGGGCTCAGCTGCTAATATCCAAAGTATTTTCATACTACAAAAGAGAGCTGTTCGCGCCTTCTACAACTTAAAGGCAAGAGAATCTCTTAGAGAAAAATTTAAAGAAATTAATATTTTAACACTGGCATCGCAATACATTTATGAAAATGTAATATATGTAAGAAAAATCTATGACGCATTTGCAAAAAAAAAGTCAAACACATTACTTTAACACGAGATTTAAGAACAAGCTTGCCGTTCTATGTCTCGGACTCCAAAAATCAAGAGGTTCATTTCTGGCTTGTACTATTGCATTGTTTAATGAAGTTCCCCAAGATTTGATTGAGCTTACACTGGCCAAATTTGAATCTCAGATCAAGAATGCTCTTAAGAAGAAGGGCTATTATAAAGTTGATGAGTATCTAAATGTTCGTAATGCATGGACATAGTGTTTCTTGTAATTTGTTATTTGATGGGTATTAGTCATTTTTCATAACAGTTAACTAACTATAATCGCTATTTCTTCTTTCAAATGTTTAATACTTGAAAAAGTATTCATTTGACATTGTGGGTTACCTACAATGCGAAGAGATTGCAGCTTAAGGCTAGGAAAATTTCGACGCGGCCATCAGGGCATAGTATGTGGTAGCATAATTGGTCAGTGCATTCGCCCGGATTGCGAAGGGTGCTGGTTGAAGTCCCGTCCGCGTGGATTTTTTTCTAGTAAAACTTTTCTTTAGTCTCTGTA